TCTCCCCCCCTCAAGACCTCCGACGCCCTTCATCAACATCATTTTCACTCGCCCTCCCCTGCCAGCTAACACGGCCAACATTGCCTTCGTGTATAATCTTCGCACCGGCCCCCCCCCCTAATCGACGAAATCCATCTGTCAGCCGTCTCCACAAAGCAGTGCGTACACAAGGCCTTGTACCTCTCCTCTCACGATCCCACGAGCACATGAGCACAGCTGACCTCGCAGTTAACCCTTGTCCGCGCCTTGACGTAGTGCGCAGACATTGTCCTCTACACTACTTCTACCCAGCATGAGGGCTCTTAACCACACTGCCCCCCGCTTCCGGTCGCAGCCACCCCCACCCATGGGTATGCCGCTCGCCCCGCCCCCGACGCTGGACGTCCCTCCTCGCCTTGCCGGCTCGCTCGCAACTCCAATGCCCACCCCACTCGCTACCCCACTTGCACCCCCTCCTCCTCCACCCATACGCCTGTCTAGCTCCCAGCCCCACATTCGCACCGAACGCTACGCTGGCGTCGAACACACCCTCGGCCCCATTTTCAACGACGAGGAAGACGGCGACGACTCTGACTACATTGCCGCCAAAATGGCTTACCTGGGTATTAGTGGCAACCGCAACAACAGCCATGGCAATGCTGCGCGCTACTCGGGCCCTGCCATGCGCCAGGAAGTCCACTACCACCAAGTAGACCCCATGACCTCCGAGTTCCAACGCCGCCAGTTTGCCCAGCAGCAGCTTCTCCACCTGCAGATGGCTCGCCAGCAGCAACAGCAGCAGCAACAGCAGCAGCAGCAGCAGCAGCAGCAGCAGCAGCAGCAGCAGCTTGAAATTCAGCAGCAGAACGCCGCTCTCCAGAATTTGCTGCGCTCCAACACCAACCCGCATCAGCTGCGCGAAATGATTGCGCTTGCTGAGCTTCAGCGCGCACAGGAGGCTGCGACGACGCCGCACAGTGCATACACTCAGCATCTGGCTGCGGCCCAAATTCTCAACCAGCAGGTTCTTCAACAGCAGATCATGGCGCTTCAGGCCCAGCAGGCGCAGCAGATGACTGCGGGCCACCGTCACACGCTTGCTGCCCAGCTTGAAGCTGGCACTCTGCGCCGCGAGCGTGAACGTGAGCGCGAGCTGCGCTCGCGTCCCCTTAGTCCCGATGACTCGCAGCTGCGTGCTGCATTCGAGGGCGCGCCGTCGGGCTACTTCCCGGCCATTTCGCCTCCCATTGACTCCGCAATGGGCGTAGGGTGGAACTCGACCACAGGCAAGCCTGCGCCCGCCCCCGTTATACCGGAGTGGCCTTTTGGCTGGAACAACGTCCCGCCTCATTCCACTTCCACCCGCACACCGCCGCCCATGTCGTCAACCGATTCGAGCACTCGTGCGCCTTCGCCCCCCTCTGTAACTCCGCCGCCCTCGGTTCCCGCTGCGCCCCTTGGTCGCTTTGCCCGTACGCGTCAGGAGCTTGACGCTGCCAAGGTGGCTGCCCCAGGCGTCCCACCTCTCGCGACCTTTTTGTCCCGTCGCCGCCAGACTGACGACGACGCCCTATCGATTTCATCATTCCCCGACGTGACTTCACCCATCTCGGAGACGGCCCCGTCGACTGCGCGCGCCCCGTACCGCAAGTGGTCTGCGGAGTCTGGCCGCAAGGTGTCCTCGGACCTGGGGCACCTTGACCCCGCCTCTCACCTGGAGTGGGGCTACTGTGCTCCTGCGCCTCGCTCGCAGTCATTTTCTGTCTCGCGCACGACTGAAGACCACCGCCCTCGTGTGCATCAGCACATTGCTCCAGCTCCCACTCACGCGGTGAGCTACGTGACGCGTCAGCCCTTCGGCCCTCCTGGCTCTCCCCAGGAATTGGCCCTCAAGAACTTTGCATCACGGTAAGTTAGGAGTGATGGTCGTTTCTGATCAACAGCATCCGTCGCAAGGCTGGCCAAAATCTCGGAATGCTGACCCGCCGCACCGAGGTCACCGATGCCTAGTCGACTTGCCATGTGTCACGAATATTTCTGCTCAACTGCTACGGTACATGATTATCCACACCACGGCTCGATGCCGCACGCTCCCTTTCCCGTCTCTGGACCCTGGTCTCCTCACGGCTCACGCCGAACATGTTTATGGACTATGGGTCGTAGCGTCCGAAGTGACGCCAATAGTATGTACGTTGTACGATATCGTAATTCCCAGTGTCATGCATGCGATGCTGGCGCAGGTTGGCGCTGCATGGTGGTCTCAGTTTGAGCGAATTTCATAGCAGATGTGAGACATCGAAGTGGAGGGCGGAAGCAAAGTTGACGCGTCGCGCGTCACCCTTCATGAGCCATGCCACAAGGCTGCGAGTGACTGGGCACAATCAGCACAACAACCTTCATCACACACCATGCCTCCCCGCAAGCGCGCGCGGCGCAGCGGGGTGGATGAGCCCACCCCAACTCCTCCTCCTCCTCCTCCGCCGCCAACAGCGCGCACGCAGCAGCGCCCCGCGGCGGGAGGAAGCCGCTACCGCACCCGCCACCGACGCGATGTGCGCGGCCCCGAGCTCGCAGTGCTCGAGGGCGGGCGTGCCGACCTCGTCCCGCCCTCCGACGACGAAGAGTACGACGAGTGGCGCGCGGTACGTGCCGTGGAGCGCGCCGAGCGCGAGCGCGAGCGCGAGCGGCTCGGCGCCCCCGAATCGCTGTATCGGATCGAGGAGCCGGTCGCTGGCCCATCGCACTCTCGGCGCCGCTTCGTCTTCCTCTTCTCGTCCCCCGGCAGCTCGCGCTCACCCTCGCCCGTCGCATCGCCCCCAGAATCCCCATCAGACATGTTCGCATCGCACCCGCCGCGACTATCCTCCAAAGGCAAAGGGCGTGCCGAGGCCTCCCCGTCCCCCTCCCAATCTCCACCTTCCCAGCCGCCTCACGCTGAACGCATCACGCTGCAATTGGGCTCTCCGAAGCTGTTCACGTGTCGACGCTCACCGGGCAGGCGCGACCATCTTCCTTCGCACTCGTACTCGCCGCCACCGCCCGCGTCGGAGCCAGTGCCCCCTGTCCCGCCGCACCCGCCACCACAAGTCTCCTCGGCCGACGCCGACGCAGACGCCACGCTTCCAGATGTACATTTGGATGATGACCTGCCTTCCGGCACGCCCGTCACTGCGGTGCGCTCGCCCTCGGTCCATGAGAGCCAGCCCACTCAACCTATGCCAGATGTAGGCCTCGGATCCTTCTACTCCCACGACAGCCAGCTACCTCTCCCTCGGGAGATGATCGAGGAGCCGTGGGGCATGGACCTTGACGTGGAGGATACTTCTGGGCCAGCCAAGGCAGGTTCAGCCAGCCAAACGGCGTTGCAGCGATCAACCCATTTCTTGGCTTCACAGGTGAGAGCGAACCTTTCCTCGCCATCACCGTCGAGGGTCGATTCTAGTCGCCCACCGCCCCGCCTGTCACAAGCCATCCTCCCCCCGTCTTCGCCTGTCCAAAGTCCGCCAGTCTCTCAGCCGACGGATGAGTCTCAGCGGCGTGCAACTCCGCTGCCGGGCCCACTTCTTCCTCCTTCGCCATTCCGCCCGTCTGAGGAGCGACCCGCGTCTCAGCAACCGCCGCCGCCGTCTTCCCCCGACGCTCTCGACCTTCTTGCGGACAATCGGGCTGCCCAGGTCGCTGCTGTGAGACCTACTGCGTCTCAGACTGACAATGTCCCTGGGACGGACCATGGCGTAGACAGACCACCCCAACCGTCCATTGACCCGGCGCTGCTTCAGTTCCGCATTGCGCGCACATTTCGCACCCGTACGGCGCTGCAGCTTCAGCCATACACGAAAGAGAAGCAGTTATACGAAAACGCGCTTCGCAAGGGCGGCCTGGCGAAGGGACGGCGCGCAGTCGCTCCCTCAGCGGAAATCCGCGCTGCAAACGAGGAGGAGACGCAGACTCAAGAGGGCCAGTCGTCCTCCGACAGCGAAGCTACGCCTCCAGACGCCATCGTAATTGGGGCAACGCAGGAGCAGGCGCCGCCTCGTCGGCGTGAGCCAAAGCCCCTCGTCGATGCCGACTACGACGAGTACTTCCTCGAATTTGGCGAGGTTGCTGACGACGATGAGGAGTGCCAGAAGCGCCTCCAGGTCATCGCTCGCAAGCGGCTGCGCGCGGCCAAGGAGGCGCGGCGGAAGGAGCGGGCTGCGGAGCGCACCCGGCGAGCGTTCGAGAACCTCATGAAAGAGACGGACAGGGAGAAGGAGGTCGAGCGGAAGGAGGCGGAAAAGCGCCAGCGCGAGAACACTGCGCGCGGACGGGAACTCTCAAAGGGCCCCAGCAAGACGGCGCCCAGGCCAGCTCCAGCTACGAGGGAGAAGAGTCCGGCCAGAACATCGCGCATCACGGCTGATCGAGATCGTGCCAGAGTGGTGAGTGTGAAGCGGGCTATGTCGCTGAAATTCCAGACATCTACCAACCGTACACCGGCAAGGAGGGGTCGTACTGTCACCTACAGCCGTCGTACGCAGCGCCAAGTATTGGACCGCCCAGACTCAGAATCACCTTTATCGTCGCCGCCACCCTCGCCTTCCACCTCTCAACACCAATCTGCCCTGTCACCAAATGAGCTCCCTCCACCCTTGAGCACTCCAGCCCTCACCTCTCATCCTGGCCGAGCCTGGACATCAACCACGCCTCCAGGTGCTTTGCCAGCTGAACCAATGGACATCGATACGCTAGACATCGCACGGGAGGGCGACAGTCACAGAGTCGATGACTTTGAGACCGCCCCCTTTGGTGGCTTTGTTGACAGCGATGATGACCGGCCCTTTACTCCCCACCGCCTGTCAAGTCCTCCGGCAGCTCCGACCTCGCGCTCCACTCGGCGCCGTCGCATAGCCTCAAGCTCGAGTCATTCGTCTGACACAGACACCGGTGACTCCTCACAGCCACAGGTCGACAAGCGCCGGCGCATCGCCGAGCGGATGTTGCCGCGCGCCATGCTGAAGCGCCTGGAACAGGAGGCCGCCCAGCAGAAGCGACGAAAGGAGGATCGTCAGCGACGCGCAGCCCGTGCAGATGACTCACCAGTCCGCCCAGGTCATGCGGTGGTGCGACGTCGTGGAGGTGGTGCTCTCGACGATATAGGCGATCTTTTCGACGACGGCTCAGAATCTGACGATGGACGGGGTCTCCTCAGTCTGCACGCGGAGGAGCGTGATGAGTCCGATGTCTCATCGGATGAGGGTTTGGGTCGCCAACTCATTCTCACCCTCCAAAGCGACAGCGAGGGATCAGAAGCAGCAGAGGACAGCGGCCGGCCTGCGGCGCTGGCCCGACTTCAGCGTGGTGACTTCGAAGCGATCGTGCACGGCAGGCGATCTGTGGAGCCACGACAACGAGGGCCGCAGCGTGGCGAGCTTCGCCGCCACCGTCCCGCACTGCGCATTTCGAAGCGCCCATCCACATCTCGAACTGGCGAGAAGAATCACGCGAGGGTGTCGAAAGGCCGAATTTTGAGCGAGTCACAGCTTTACCAGACACGACTAAATTCTCCAGTGGAGGAGACGACCCCTGTCCGCCCACAGAAGTCGAAGGCCAGAAGCAGCAAGAGCAAAAGCAAATCCTCCGCTCGTGCAGATCGCGGCGGGAAAGATGACCGTCGCAGCAAGGGCGCAGCTCGTCCTGCTATCCGCCTCGATGACAACGTCATCTTCGCGACCGGCGACTTCGCGTTCTCGAGTGACTCGGATGACATCGAGATCCAAGGCGCGACACCTGCACCCGCACCACGGGCTCTGCCGCGGGGGCCTCTCGCACAGATGACTACCAAGAATGGTCGCCTGTACGCAAGGACCGCGTCCTCCCCCACCCCGGCTCCTCCGCCACCTCGTCGCGCTCCAGCCCCCAAACAGCAACTTGATGAAGGCGTTGGCAAGGCTCGCTCCTGGGCGAACTTTGACCGGTTCCCAATCGATTTCGAGATCACGCCACTGCCGATGGGGGTGTATTGCGGTGCAGAGACTGTCCCAGGCAGTGGGCTGCTTGGTACATTTCTGGGTCAGCTCGACGGCGAATTCTTGCAGGAGCTGAAACCCATCTCGACGCACGGCGTGTCACTGCACTCCGAGATGTCTTCCGATGAGGCCCTCGAAGTGCTTCCAATCGTCCTCGACGGCATGACGGCCTCCATTCGCAGCTGTATTGACGCAACTTCGACGGCAAAGGTCCATTCCGATCTCCGGCCCCTGCGATTCATCCGTGACTACCTCGCCCAGGCCGACGTCGATACCCGTGGGCGCTTGTTCGCGCCCTTCCGCAACTTTGGCCAACAGCTCGATGACGTGGTTCTGGACAGCAGCCGTGCGCGTCGAGGGCTAGTTCTCCAACTGCTCGAGGTGCGTTATGCCTTGTTTGAGATTGCGGCGATCGCCGGCGACCGCGAGGATCTCGCCACGGCCGCGACGCAGCTGATCGGACTGCTCTTGGTGTATGGTTTCGATCGTACTGTTCGCCCGCTCCGACGCATTTTGAGCGGGCAAGCGGATACGCCTGAAGTCACAGACGTTACTGTCGCCCTTTGGGTGTCACTGCTCCATATCCTAGCGGCCTATGACAAGCAGCACCCTCCCTCCACCAACGCAGTCGATGATACGTTCTCTGCGGCCCTGGCGGAAGCGCTGAGTCGACGATACGGAGGCGAAATTGGACCACTGGCCGCTGAACGCATCTGGTTTCTGGTGTTTGGCCTCTGTGCAATTGCTCAGTTTGGTGTGGACGGTACGGTTGTCGCTGAGTACACGCCGTATCCGCGCTGGACGCTAGTAAAGCTTGCCCTGGGACATATCAAGATCACCCACAGTCAAGAGGCAGAGGAGTCTGCTCACCTTGATCAACTTCAGGGTCGCGACCGCTACATCAAAACTGTCGTGGCTCGCTGTCTCCGGCTGTCCTCGACATGGCGGTGGAACTTTGACTCGAGGAGCTTCTCCGTTGCGACTCGCGACCTCGGAATGATTTTCAAGGCGCGACAGCACCGCAACCTGCCAACGGAGCCACCGGCCGACTTCCCTCGCTTCATCGCGGACTTTGATATCTCTCTTACAGCGGAGGACGACACGCGGAGAGCCTCAGCCTTCGAGCTGTGGCTTCGCCTCGCCTGTGTCGCGGCGTCAGACTTGATTGGGGCAGCCGAGGAGTTGAGTGCCGCGCACCGCGCCGAACGGGACGTCCAGCGCCTCATCATGTCCATCTTCCCCCTCTCGGCTGTGCCGTTCACGCGGGCGAGCCCCCCTACACCACGGCAGCTCAGCGCCCTCGTGAATCGGTATTCCACGATGGTGGTCGCGTGCTACTTTTCGCCCTCCCTCTTGCCGTGGCTGCTCGCCAACTCGCGCAAGTGGCTCGCCTTTGACGCCGCCGACTTCGGATCTCGCCAGGTGTGCATACGCGGGCTAATGTACCTTGGCGTCGCGTGCCGCCATCATTCTCACCCACTTGACGCGGTTGTTGGCCGCCTCGCGGATATCCTCGCGACATTGCAGGCGGAATTCGAGCAGCTCGGGCGTCCCACCAATGCGCCCAGCTTTCCAACGCGCATCGAGATCGAACGCACCATGGTGCTCGTCGTCTCGTGCTTCCGACAAATCATCGTGCACCCAAGATACTTGCCTAGCGCTGAACCGGTCTACCCCGACCCAGTTCTGCTCCACGAGTGTACGTTTGCTCCCCTTTCCCCAGCTGACAATAGCCTGGACTGCACGCATCTTCCAGCTCGATCTCGTCAGGGACGTGAAGTCGGGACTGGAGGTCGTCGCCACTATCCAGGCCTTCCTGGACGCGCGAGCAACAGCGCTGCCTAAACGTGCCAAAGCTGCGCGCACGTTACGTCAACAAGAAAGCGTTGACGACTATCCTAGCCTCGGGTTTGACTTCAATGCCATTGACTTGGCTGCGTTGGGCGGCGACGAGGCTCCTCCGGAGCCTGAGGATCCCATCGAGGTGCAGGATGCGGTGTTTGCGGAGGTGAGCTTTCAAAACGACTGTCTACTGACCCCAGACAATTGTTAAGAGCATCTGCCCGCGGATCTACCGCCTGCTGTCCGACATGCTGCCCGCGTCCGAGATCAACAAGCCGGGAGAGAAGAAGGGCGCAGAGCGCCTGGTTCTCATCAACCGTCTCACACAATGCTGGAGCGATTGTGCGGCGGTCGCTGTCGTCGAGCACAATCGGTCGGGCTGGGATGTGTACGCGTCGAGCTACGGGGCACAGTCATGGTCGCGCATCGGCAACGACCTTGGCCGCATCCGCGTCGGCCTGCAGTTCATGACGAACGTCGCCCACCTTGATCCCGGCTCATTCAGGACACTGGAGAGCGAGTACATCCTGCTCCTCTTCCAAAGCATCGCAACGGATCGCCTGACAATCGAGCACAAGTTCACAAGCGCTCTTTTCAGTCTCCCAGGCACGCTGGATCATATGCTCTTCGATGGCATTCAAGCCGTTGGAGTTGAGGACCTTTCGCGCACCACATTCATGGAGCGCCGCCTCGCGATTCTGAAGGTGGCTTTCCGCAACATCCCCTCCCTGCTGGGATCACACCTCACACCAACGGACATGAGGACGCTCATTGTTCGCTGCATGAACACGCTTGTGGAGAGCATGGTGATGTACGACGGTGCGATCGATGCACGGGGCGTCCTTCACCGCCAGGCGTATCGTGTATTCGTAGGGGAGGTCGTGCGCGCACTCCGCCTACACGTGGGCGAGCACGTGAGAGAGATGACGGCGTCGGGGCTGAAGGCGTTGGAGTGGGCGTAGTATGTAGCTAGGTAGTTGACAGCAGCGGCAATGTAGCATACTCGCATCGGTAATCGCGAGGCGAGGTTGTCGGAATGAAGTTGACACGCGGCAGCGGTCGCTGATCTCCGGTGTTGCCACCGGTTATCGCCCGCTCATAAGCGGGGTAGGCCCAACTTTCGTTGCGCGACGCGTTCTTCGATATCTACTTCACAATCTCTCCTCCCCTCCACAATCGTCTAGACAGCTGCACCTTCGCTCCTCCGCATCCTCACATACCCAGCCCGCCGACACTCTCACCTCCCCCACCTCCCCGCCCCACACCACCGCCATGACCTCCACAATGCTCCCCGCGACGAAGGACGAGGCCGCCGAGCTCCGCACCCTCCTCGGCCGCGCCAAGTTCGGCCGCGGCATGGCCGAGCACCTCACGCTGTACGCCGCGCACCCCGTGCCGCCCGAGAACGACCGAGGGGGACGGAATGCCAACAGCTGGCAGATGGTCGTGCAGGGAGTCGTGCAGGATGGTGAGTTTTGGGGGGCTCGTGCGTTGGAAGAGTGGTGTTGGCGGAGCGCGAGTAGGCGGAGCGCGAGTAGGCGGGGCGTGAGTAGCCAGAGTGCAAGCAGAGAGAGCACGACTGGGCGAGGCAGGCCGAGGTCGCGCGATGCGGGCAGGACGGGGGTAGGCGGGCCCGGGTTGACGTGGTGGAGAGTGGAGAGGTTGACGTGGTGGAGAGTGGAGAGCGCCTGCTGACATCAGAATGGGCCAATGGCCTTGGAAACCTGCACGGAGCGGCTGCGGCGTGGCTCGTCGATGTGTGAGCTCGACCCGCGTGATGCGATCTGACAGCAGCCTGACGTCGTGTGCGCTCGGACGCCTGTCGACGCCGTCGTTCTGGGGCCCGCCTATGCTCGGCGGCGTGACGATCCAGCTCGACATGACATACTACAATCCGGCACCTGTGTGAGTTCTTAAGAGAGGGGGGGAGGGGGGGCAGCGCAGGACGGAGAGGGCAGAAGAGGAGGTTGGTCGGTCAAAGGGGGCCGCTGAGTGAAAGACGGAGGAAAAAGTGGAGGCGGGAGGAGGGAGCGGGTGCGACGCAGTCGGGGCAAGAGGTGGCTGGGCCACCAGTTGAAGGAAGGGTGGCAAGGACGAAGAGGGATGTTGAAACTGAGCTGACATCAGTGGGACCAAGATCCGCATCGTGGTGACGGTGGAGAGAATGGCACGGACGCTGGCGAACACGCGCTGTGACGTGAGTATTGTTGAGAGCTCCGAGAGATGGGGTGAGATTCAGTGGAGAGATCGTGCGGTTGTCCGAAATGTGCGCCCCAGTGGCAGGTGGCTCCATGAGCTGTGTGGGGCGTGCTGTGGCCGACGGCGATGGAGGCGGGGACTTGGGATCTGGGCGGTGACAGAGATCTGGCTCGATTGCTCTAGCCCAGAGCATCGCGCCAAGTCTTCCGCTCATCAACGGGGGCTGTGGAAGGTGGAGCTGCAGGACGGGCGTGGTTGCCACCCGATGGCGGCAATGAGACGAGGGAGAGTGGAGTTGCAAGCGCGCGCGTACGCCCCATGCTCATATCACGGTCCGCCCGTCCGCCGATCGTGGATGATCTGGATAGTACCACTCGGCGCGGAGAAGCCGTTCATTGGCGAGTTGCCCGAGCACGGCCTTGTCGTGGAAATCAGATAAGATCGAGGCGCACGGCTGCCTCTAGCCCCACGCAGTCTCCACACCGTCTCCCGCTCCACACACAGCCTCCCACTCGCTGAGTCCCTCCAACACTCACCTCTCCACACAATCGTCCCACGCCCTTGTCGGGCGCTCCCCTGTCGGCTTCTCAAGCCTTCATGCCCCCTCCACATTCATTGTTTACCCTGCTGACCCCAGATCCTCGAGTGGGATACGGGCAAGCGTCTCGCCTCGGGCACACACGCCAAGGCCTGGCGCCCAGCCAAGATGTAGAGTTGTATTCGTTCGTTGTTTTTGGATGGCATTTGTGGACAGGTAGCGGGGCCGTGGATGGCCCCAAGCAAGTAGAAGTTCGAGTGATCCGGTGATATACCACCGTCATTGGAATACCACGCGAGAGTGGGGCAGGTGTGCTGCCCTGAAAACATCGTAGATCCCGATTGAGCGTGAGGGAGTTTCACTGCGAAGAACTGCGCCGAAAGATTGTGACTGGAGGAGCAAGAGGGTAATGGGAGCGTGAGTACATGACATGGCGAGTGCGAAAGGATGAGTGCGACCGAGTCGCAGAGTGACTGATGATGGGTACGCACAGTGTATGGGCATAAAGTGCCAGTGCGTGAGCCCCGACGAGGGACGTTTGCCATCGATCGACATCATGGCCAACAGCAACGCCGGAGATAGTTTATGCCGGTCCTGCGCGCGCGAAGTCGACATCCAGCCTCTTGCCGGCGCGTCAGTAAATGTTTAGCATCAAGGACGGAAAGGGTCCCTTCGCCCAGCTCGCATGTCTCACTCTCTATCAGCTAGCTATAATAGCAACAGTAAAAGGAAGGTTGATGCCCTCGAAACCATTGAATCGCTCTGCACCTACGATCCGCGGGGAGCGAAATCAATCAGAGCTGAACGAGGTCTAATTCAAAGCCACCTTGATATGACTTTTCAGGCTGCAGAAGGCTGCACGCTAGCGATCTCACACAATAAAAAACGCGGATGGCTCGAGAACAAATGACGAATGAGTCGAATGACGGATGGAATCATCGTGCATACTAGCCGACAGAGACCATTGAGAATGCCGCGGAAGACGCGGTTAGGAAGGGAGTTAGACGGGCCACAATCAGCCTTTGTTCTCACTCTGCGGTGATGGGGAGTGGTTGTTCTCACTCTGCGGTTTTGGGGAGTGCAATGACGCGGCTTCTCAACAAGTGCTGGAAGAACGTCGCTGAGGGCATGGGTGGGAATGACACCTATGCGGCCAACCTATCATAGAATTTCGGCGGAGTGATTGTGCTCACGAACGCCGAGGTGAAGTGTCCAAATGCAACGGTACTGGCGAAGCCAAACCGCATCTTCAGCAGCCGAGTAAGTATCAATGTCCACATCGCAAGAGTTCCCCCAGCGCAGATGCCCTTGCTTAACATGAATCAGCATGTCCAACAGTCCATCGTCGTCTCGCCCTGCTGCCACTTGGGGGTTGCGAAGAATCGCACCGCATGTCTGAATTCCCTTGACCGCCACGTCTGGGGCCGCAAACGATCCTCTGTATACCTTCTACAACCACCAGTGTCGACGAGGCGACATGGCTTAGGCCTCTCGCTTGCCTCCCGAGGTACAGAAGAGCACATTAGTGGCACCAACCCCAACTCAGGCGATCACTCTTCCCGTCCAACCCAGGCTTTCTCCACACTCACAACAGGTCGGGTCTGGTTCTCGCGTACCCATTCAAGTGCCATCCCCATGCACTCACCTAGTAACACCGTGCGCTGGCGTCGTTGCAAACTTAGACAGATATATCGGGCGTGACAGTCAGGAGCACAACGGCGGGCATGCCGTCATGGCAGACGTCGCACGGCTCAGGAATGCAAATCTTATTTGAATAACAGCAACGCTGCATTGTGAGCTGGACACGAAGATACAGAGGTGGGCGAGCCGAGCAGTGATGGGTGGAGTTTTTTTTTTTAGCCGCCATGAATGTGGCATGGCCACGCCCATCGTGCTCGAAAAATTACCCGAATTGGCAAATAGTGATCGGCGGAGACGCGACTCGCTGCTCGGCGACTGACTCTTCTCCTCCCGACAACCTGGTGTCCTGTCTCCCCTCGTTTGTGGGTGTTCCTTCACGCTCCTCTACGAATCACGGAGGGCCCGGACATGCATTCAACGCCGAGGAGTGCGACAGCTGTCGCGTTTCAGGCCGACGCTATTGTTCTTCGGTGTCCGAAAGGGGAGATCTCGGAAGCAGAAGTCAAGGGTCCACGAGTCTGGGAGCAGGCACGTCCATCTGTCCCTGGCGACAACGCCGCTCGGAGCCGGCTCACCATGTGTCGGGACCGAGAGCACTCTCGGCGCACACCAAGTCTGCTCTCGTCGACTTCTGGAGACTATAGCACACGCATGCGTTCCAGCAACGCTAATGGTTGACCCCACGCACTATCCCGTCGACAGCGGGTAGCCCGGGGGAGACGGGGGAAGGGGGAGTGCCTGTGGAGTAAGGCCGACGCTGCGTACTCTCAGGCTTGAGCGGGGTTTGCGTCCACCCGCGTCGACGCCATGTGCTCAAGGTTATTCTGCATAGGCCTACTGGTGGGCATTTGGAGGCAGGCGAGCTTTTCACTGAAGGAGGTCCCGCCTCTGATGATTTAGCCAAGTCGTATAGAGTTGTACTGCGCGGCGGTGGGCATGTGGTCGCGTCGACATCCGCCCCATCAATGGTCCAGCTTGTGTTCCTGTTCCAGAAACGAGAAACTGATCTCGTCTCCAGACGCATCGAATCACATTGCTTCTCCTAAATCAGGCCTCCACTGCTGCTAGTTTCATCTCCGGCGGTTATGCTGTACTTCTAAGAGAGTGCTTGTCTCATTGTGTTACATCCTCGCCCTCCCCACAAAGATTTTTCAAGGGGTACCTCGCATACAATAGTGGATTTGTCAGTGAATTTCACTTGCCCGAGTGGTGGGGGGACTGTCGCGTTGGGGGGTGGCAGTCACGGTCGGACTAAATATGCAGGCGTGACCTATGTAATCCGGCGATCATTGGGCTTTGCAGGCGATCGCGGCGATCATGGCAGGCAAGAAGGCGGTGGCGTACAATGTGGCAGCGGTGCAAATGGAGGATTGTGAAGGGATGCCAGCTTAGCCTCCAAAGCTTGATTTGAATTGCTCCCTGCAGCCCACCCTACCCCGCCTCTCTCCCATACCGGTCAAACTACTGTGACATACATTGCACGGGGATTGTAGTACCGTTAATCGAAATTATGCCCGTTGACGCCTGCCAGGCGGTTATGGAACGATGCGAGTATCAATTGTAAGGGGGTGGGAAATGGCGCCGTAAACAAAGGGTATCGGAGCGCTTCCTTTCGGTCGCCAGGTTGCGACGCTGGGGAGCGCGGCCCGGCATCGAGCCGAGCGTGGTCGTGAAGCAGCAATACGATGAGAGAAAATGCAGATCAAGGCTGGGTCAAGCATTGTCCGCGAGTCAAGACAGGCGATGGTGAACAGCTCAGTCCAATCTTCTAGGGTCCCGCGCTTCACTCCCTCCTTGGTATTGCCTTTGACGTCAGCCCGGCAAACTCGAGCGGCGTGGGACGTACTCTGTGCTCACCTCCAGCCCCAGTCCGGATTCAACAGGGGGTGGCAGAGGAATGGGAGGGAGGTGAAGTCGGGCTCGCAGCTCGTTGATGGTGTGTCGCGAGATATCAAGTTCGGCTTGCAGTTGTTTGATAAGGGCCTCGTTCTCTTTCTTGGCCGCCTCAAGAGTAGAAACGTAGTCTGAACCGTGTCAGGACAAGAGAGAACAAATTATGGAGAGCCACCGTGACTAGCCAGGAGATAACGGCGAGAACTGTGGGCACTCACCTTTACGCTTGGCTCGGAACCTCCTCGCTCCTATACGGTTGCGAACCTGTTTCTTATCCCGAGGGTTGAGAGCTTTGTACTGCTCCTGCGGCATACCCCATGGCTGGGTCTCATCTCCGTCCTTGCCATCGTTTGTGGCGGTCGTAGTGGCGGACAAAGCTCCACTTCCCTCCCAACTAGATCCGGCTGAATTGGTTCGCCGCTTCTTGTTGAGGGGGTTCTCCATCTTAGCATGCGCCTGGTGCATTCCCGGGGGGAAAGAGGTAGACGAGCTAGTGCCGGCATACGTTAAGTGGTTGGAGGGCGAAAGCGGCGAGAGTGTGGTCATCCCTGGTGAAGCGGCAGGGTATCCTCCCGGGATACGAGGAGAATATCCATGTTGCTGCGCCGGGCGTGCTGTAGGCGGCAAAGACGACATTGTGGCTCCTGAAGGTTGCACAGGATAGTGGTAACCACCCATGGGCTGAGAGGCGGGAACGTGACTAGAGTAGCTCATGGGTGTCATGTGCATGGGGGCACCGCCAGGCCCCTGGCCAGTCGACGATCCAGCGGCGCTGCCAGGGAGCCCTACTCCGGACGGTGACGATCCATGGTATCCGGAGCCGTACCCGCTCGACACTGGTGGCAGATTGTGCGGGGACGATTGGCTAGGGGGTAGAGGTGGCAGAAATGTCCCCTGATTGATTGATCGCCTATGGTCCTCACGGCCCTGGTGGGGCGGCACTGCATGCTGGCGGTCCCCGCCGTAGTAGCTGCTGCTATAGAGCCCCTGCACTTGTCAGTTGAACGTATAACAATGGTTGTGAGCGTGATGTCGCAGTCATCAGCAGTGCTGGCGATGACTATGCCGGCATTGACGGCAGTATCCAGCCCCGCGGGGGTGGCTCGCGTCGGCGTCATTGATCACCGTTGTACTCACCCAGTTCGTCGGCTCCATCGGATGGGTGGCGATCTGTGCAGACACGATGGGCAATTCGACGCCTTGAGCGCCGTGGCGTGGTGCAGGGACAGCGAGGTTTATAGAGTGGGGGGGGGGGGGGATGGGGTGTAAGTGAAATGGCCGAAGCCTTAGAAAAAAGGTGCAGATGCGGGGCACGGAACCACGGATCTACCGTCGTTCACCGGTTGCGCGTCTGTGCGGTTAGCAACAATCACCGAGTGGGTAGAGATAACCAGTGGCGGCAGTTCCCGAAGCCTGCTGTGTACGTGCACGTTGCAGGAGCAGTTGGATCCTCTACCGGGCGCGTGGCGCAACGTTGGATGCAGCCACCTTCGGTGCCTCGGTATGGCGTTCCCAAGCCACCGTCTCATTCTCCTCTCCTGTCTCCAAGCACACTGCCGCCCCGATCTGCCACCAACGCGCACTGCTCCCGGAGGTGCGACGAAACCAGAGATGTTGGCGACGCGCAAGTAAAATTGAGCGGTCACTCACCAAACAATGTCGTACACACGCGACACCAGCCGTGAAAGAAGTGGATGGGGGATCAAGCAGTGCCCCAAGTTCTTGCGGTCGGTCCGTTATAGCGAGGATATGCGAGCAGCCCGAATGGCCTGTTGGCGCGCTGGGGCAAAAAGTAATGACGACAATGACGCGAACAGTGCCGCGCGCAGATGGTGCCGAAAGAGGGCGCAGTGGGGCGATGTCAATGTGCGAGATCGCTTGAGCGCTTGACCGCGTGTGTAGTGTGTGTGTAGGTGGAGATTTGTGGGGGAGAGATGCGCAGTGCAGCGCGGACGGCGAGGGCGGCTGTGTGTGTGTGTTGCCACGAAGAGTGAGGGAAAGTGGAGGAGAGGGTGGGGAGGTTAACCTGCTAACCGCTGTACACCCAGGCGCTTGTGGCGAGCTCTGGTTAAGGGGTGCCAACTAGAGTGAGTTAAGGAAGGAGGAGGAAGTGTGACCGTCGCTGGCGCAAGCAGGCCGGTGTGATGGTCTGATGTAGAGGGTGGATTGGGAAGGTAGAACGAAGGTTGAGAGCAGTATGGTAGCGTGTTGTTGGTTAAAGAGGGTTGGGGACCCGATCGCTGTCGCAGGGAGGGTGTTTGTAAGAGTCGAGGATGTCCAGATCCGACTCTGGATCAAAGTATATGTTGCGAGCTTTTCTGCTGGCACAGAACGTCTGCGGTCTTGGGAGGTACTGACGCGGAGAGATGGACCATCAGGCCCGTTACCGCCGGGCTTTTGTTTTGACCCTCCAACGCTCAGTTGATACCACAGCACGGCGCGACAGTGGGTTCTCGTGGCTCCTTTGGGTGGATAATGGCTGTTGGGAGGAGAACGGCCCGTGAGCCGAACCGAATGAGGCTTGTGGGTCTTGTCAATATTCAGACACGGACAGGACGGCGTTGGGCATGTCGTCGTCGTCGCGGTCGTTTAGCGACGGCCAGGGACAAGCAGGTGAGCAGAGGGCTAGGTGGGGTGAGTGGGGGTGGCGGGGGTGCAAGGGTCAGTGGACCAGGTAATCGACCAGCAAGCATGTAGGCAGCAGGGTTCATGCTCAAGAGGGGAGGCCAGCGGAGGGCCAGAAGACGCTGATGGAGGACAGCATTGGTCCCTCGGACGCGCGCGTCACGGGAAAGACGACCTGGACAAGGTACGGAGTAGGAAAAGGATCAAGAGTAGTGGGCTCAAGGAGTTTGAAGAGGAGCGCGCAAGCCGAAGCGCAAGCGGATGCGGAGCCGCAGAGCTGCAGAGCTGCAGAGCGACCCCGCTTCTCCTCCTGCACTCGTCTTGCGTTCGGCCTGCTTGCTCCCCTTGCTCCCTCTCCCCCGCATCACAGGGTCCAGCGACATGCCTGTCGAGCACGGGAACTTTACCAGGAACAAGGGGTGGGACGAGTGCGGGATCTACCCAATCCAAGACTCTTCAGGGATCAAGCATTACTCTCTCGCTGTGACCAACGACACATGAGCAGAGGCACACCATTGAGGCCCGAGACTTACGGACGGAAAGGAGGAGCGCGGGGAGAAGGAGGACGGAGCATGTGGTGAACAGGGGCAGACCGAGGAGCTGCAATGAATGGGAGTGTGCTGCACCGATGTTGAGGCTCTTCGCCCCTCCTTCTGACTCTTCCCGCGTTGCTTCTAGGTGCCCCTCTAGCAACGTCCAAGGTGAGGCCAATAGCATTCGCGTCGAGGGTGATTGCATATGATTAATGCAGCCGTGACAGCTATAGATTGGCAAGTGACCTGTGCGATGGACTCTACCGGGACCGCCACATCGACTTGCGAGATCTAAGCAGCTCGCATCTCACCGAGTGTGCCCATCACAAGACATGCATTACGGGAGCGTGTGTTTCAGCTCCACCAACACATGGCATTCCAGCGGCATCCGGAGAGATAAGAACGGACGACGTGATGAGGCGATGCACACCGTAATGGCTTGCACCTATCTCTAGCGTTACATTTATTTACCCTTCACAGTCCAGACATTCGATAGTCGTACACTCGCTGGGCGAGCTGGCTTTTGCTTTGGCGTCATAAGTCCCCCACGGTCCGAGGAGCCGGAAGTTCATGGAGGCCTGGACGTCCACCATCAATACGGCCCGCAGCGTTCGGACGAGTCTGGACGAGTCTAGGGCCACTATCCACAAGCTAACTACTTGCTTTCACGAATTGTGGCCATCGAGCTTTCTGGGTGTTCGTTTGGACATTCACCTCCCATGATTGGGAGTGGCGCCTGGCCGTCCGTATCCTGTAATATGTCTGTCTAGTGACACTGCTCACGTGCATGGCAATGTGCACGCCACCCCGTTTGAGGGGCACACCCTCGACAGAGGACACAAGTCTAGTGGAGCTGCTCTGGTACTCTAGCTCGAAACCAGGTGGCATGAATTAAAGGCAAATCATAGATGGCGTCTACAAGCACACAAGATCAGGAGAAAGGTGTTGAGTCAGGGTTTGGTCACGAGCGCTGATGTCTCGGTGTGAGAGAAGTCGAAGATGTTTGCCTTGCCGAGCCTAACAACCCTTCGATAACGTAACCCTCCCTGGCTGGAAGGGATGAATAGGATTGCTGAACGTGTGTGGGCAGAGGTCAAGCGGGCAGATAGGACAAGTTGCAGGGAGACGGGAGCGACGTTGAGACAGGTGGCGTTGGGTTGCCACCTTCAGCTGCGCTAATCCCCGCAGAGTTAGTAACGGCAATCCGGGTGGCACCCTATTCCTGAGTTGATCTGCATCCAGGGATTCTGCCACTGCGACTGAATTCTTGCGACACTAGGGACAGAAAAGACGCCCTTCTTGCCCAGTTCGACGTTGCTCACGTCACTGGCTTCTGGCCACAGAGCTTGTCGGCGGAATGCCATCTGTATGCAGACAATTCAGCAATACGCTAGAAGACAAATCTGTCTCACATACCATCCCAGGTGCGCGACGACGGGGTCGTCCTTAGACGCTGGTGACGGTAACAGACCCACCATCCCGTCCGCTGTAGCCCGCCCTGCGTGTGCTTGGAAATGGAGGCAGAGGGAGGACTCTTCTTCGCCATGCAGTGGCACGCCGAGGCCGTCAAGGTTCAGCATGCTCAACAGGGACGGGGGTTTTGTTTGCTTCGTTTTCTCGCCGAGCAGGGGACCAGGGCACCCAGAGGGCCGGCAACGACATGGTCTTTTGTTCTCGCAAACAAGGTTCATCCCAGGCCCTATGTGATATGCTGGCACGCATCAGAGCACGAGCAATTGCGGCCGGCCGTGCGGGAGGAGTACCTGGGCCTGAGCAACAGCCCTCCCGTTTCCGCACACCCGCCTGCGGGCAATCTTGAAGTAGGCTCGTGGGGGCAGCAACCTTCGAGAACGGCTCCAGGAGCATCAGTGACATGCTCCGTTTGGTCCACGGCTACTTGCCCCTCGACCAGGTCCTCATGCCAGACGTGACACGAGGTTCCAGTCCTGTGGGTGCCACCAGCCAAGCACTTAAGATGGGGTCTATCGTGACAAGCGGCTCCACACGCGGGGAAATCATGCATGATCGGATTGGGCACTGAATGCCCGTCGTGCGCGGAGAGGGACTGACCGTTCTAGTCCTCGGTTCCGGCCTCTCGGCTAGCTGCCAATCCAGCCGAATGCAAGTCTACGGGTCCGACTACCGCCATGCCAAGGCTCTCGACCCGCGAATTGTGTAGCATGGCGCGAGACTGGGCTCGACGAGGAGCCAAACCGGCTCCGAACCACATGGACACGCGTTACAACTGCTCCAGAAGTGGTGGCGCTGCAAGTCCGATAGTTGGATCGCCGTGGATAGTCCCTGACATACCCTGAGTGACCGTCAGCTGATCGCCATCTCTCGGGCTGGGCTCAACCGCCACAGCGACCCTCCAAGCGCAATGTCACCTGGCCCAGAAACGGCGACCACACCTCTCGGATTCAATTCTATCATCGACAGGTGTGACGTCCAATTTTCCGGGCGACAGGGCCGCTGTGGCGCATCGTTGCTTGGCCAACAGATGACGCCTCTGAGTGCCGCTACTTGGTGTAGTGGATGACCGAACCTTGCCTGCATTTGTTGAATGGCTTGGGTGAACAAGCTTTGCGGAGGGCCCTTTCCGCAGACAGGAAGCCTGATTCCGCCGTATATCAGCGTCTGAGGCCTGCAGCGCCGAGGCAGAAGCACGGCGTGTTTGGCTTGCTGGGCCTCAATTCGGGGTGGATGACGACGAGGGCGGCGCACGTCCGCCGCGCCACGCTCGCCACTCATTTGCTTTCATCACGCTCTCCGCACGCCACTCCCCTTGTGGCTGAATTGCATGATTTTCAAGTCCGACACCTGTCCTCCAACTCGCCTATCACCACATCTTCTCACAGCAATTCCGATCGCAGCACCTGCGCTCGGCGACTATGACGAATGCGGCTTTGTGGGGCTCCCCCCCTGCTCGTCGTCAAGGCTGCGTGACAGATGTGTGGTAGTGTGTGCCTGGCAAAATGAAATATAACGTCGTTTACGTTTGACACCAGAACACACCCAAGATGCACGCGTGATGACCAACATCTCACACCGGCGACTCCCAGCACTGAGGTGCAGCCCTCTTTGCATTGCCTCTCGAACATCCCTTCCTCCTAATCCGTTTGGTAGCCGTCTACTGTGTGGTACTTGCTGAGCTGACCAGGGTACTTGTAGCTTCAATTACGCTTCAGATGCTGTGGAGATAAGTGGAGGGTGCAGTGTCTTCAGTAAGTCCCCCACTCTAGGGCTAGCCATCCCCGATGCCGCTTTGACATGTCGGGACCTGAGTGCACACAACTATCGGCTGCGGCGCCTCTGTGCGCGCACTCTCGGACCAGATATCCGCACACCGAAGGTGGACCTTCGGGCAACTGTCGCCCCAGGCCCCAGGCCGCCCGGCAGCGGCACGTACGGCGAGCCCATTGTTCTCTCAGGGCGACCAGGATCTACTTGCACGAACAAAAGACTGTTGGGCGTGCCTGTTCCCCGTGCCGTCCCCATCCAGGATGTTGTCGCAGAGTGCCACTCGGTGGGCGATCTGCAGATCTCGTTCTCCTGAGGAAGCTGCACTGATCGACACGGATGATCGGCGCACATGCGCAGGTGAATGATCGTCGCGTTGAGTGCGACTCACCTGGGTGTCACCCGGCAAGAGTTGAACAGTTGAGCCTGACTACCGGTCCCATCACTGTCATCATTGGTCACTCCACCAACCCCACAATTCATGAGCCCCTTAGCCCCAGCACGACGTTAACCCCATCGCGAAGCCTTGCTAGACAAGAGGGCGCTCCCGACCCGCAGTGGGGCGGGCGCACCGCACAGGATAAGACGGGCCTTGCCTTTCATACCAGCAGGAGCGTCGGTGACGCCCGTCCCGACGACGCTTGTCGCTAATCGTGTAGACGTTACTGCTCACGAGTGTAAGCGCCGTCCTATCATTCCTGCCGCTGGGGAGAGTCACGCCCACCTGCACCACATGGTTCACGCAACGGGCGACAAGCCGCCTCCCGTAACCCGTATCAGCTCATCGGAAGATGCGGCGGCGCCACGGCACGCGCGCTCCCGAAGACAGGAATTTCGCCTGCAGATCTCCCGCAACGGCCGACCCGCTCCCGATAGCGATGGCCGATCTCCCGATACCGTTTCAGCTATGCATGCGAAACTGGAGCAACTCTGACACAGAATCTCGCTCGCGTGCACGCGTCGCGGTCATTTCCATTGTGTGTCGGTAATTCAACAGCTATCCCCTCGATGCCTACACCTGACTGAAGTCTATGCATGCAATTGCAATGGGCACGTCTACTGGTCCATGATCGCTTCCCTCGCCCGCTGCTTGCGCTCGTGCACGCTGCGCGCAAGCTGTCATTAGCTACCACACGCCATACGGTTCTCGCTTCCCGGCAGCAGAATGGGCGACATGAGCGGGGTGTGCAGCCTGCAGGAAGACCTATCCGCCACAACCACAACTTGACGGTGGTGCCTATTTCGGTCTCCATCTTTCGGAGCCGAATCTCGGAGCCGGACTCACCTCCATCAGCTGGACCTCCTCTCCGCTTTGTCGGCAGAGATCGCGGAACGAGCCGTTAGGATCCTGCAGGAGCTCCCATGGTGTGCCGAACTCAATCTTCCGCCCGTGATCAAGGACCAGAATCCTGCGATCAGTATCCTGTTCGGCGGATTGTTGTGATGGATATGCTCGATGAAACACCGCACCCTGCAGGCACAAGAAGTCCACCGCTCCCTTGAGGAACGCGGTGGCAATGTGGCAGTTGCTCGAGACGAGGCATTCTTGTCGCGCGGCAGCGTCGCCTCGTCGACAAGTGATCCCTGCAGCGGGTTCACCTTGCCTTTCCGGGACGAGGGTACACGTAGCCTTGAGCTGCTCATCGCACGAGTCCAAGCCGAGCGTGAAAGCAGATTCGGGCACCAAGAACACAGATTAGGCCCAGACCCGATCACTTCAAGCACCGTGAAGATGTCACACTTTCACGCTTCCTTTCCGTTGGACCGGTGTGATACTGGCGGCGAGTCCGTTCACCGCCTCACTTCGATCTCCGTCACTCACTTGTCCAATCCACAAACCGTCATGAGGCGGTGCGCAATGACAAGCATTTGCGTGTCCTCAAGCCCGGTACGTATGACATTCTGGATCGTCGCATCGGTCGCGTGGTCGAGGTTGGCTGTACTTTCGTCCATGATTAGGAAGGAAGAGTTGCGCAGCTTGAGCAGACCCCGCGCGAGGGCAAGCAGCTGGCGTTGCCCCTGCGAGAAGTTTTTGCCACCCGCCGCAACGGGCTCGTCAAGCGACCTGATCATCACTCGCTCCTCGTCGAAGCCCAGCGCTAGGCTGAGGCTGGAGGCCGCTGCAGACGGTGCTCTATCTTGCCCAGAAGCCACTCTGACAAGGTCTTGCACTGACTCACGCCTACTCACGGCACGGCTGGCAGACCGGCTCATCGCCCGCGACGCTGCTAACGAAGCACCAGGCGTACGGCCCGTCAGCCCACATTGCCGTAGCGCATCCCAGATTTCGAGGTCCTCATGCTGCCCGAAGGGATCCATGTTGTCACGGACAGTCCCCGAAAAAAGCTGCGCCTCTGCGTACGTCAGCCAAGTTGACAACTCCGACGGCAGAGTGATTCTAGGACGAACCTTGGGGGAGAATCGTAAGACGTGACCGCAGGGTTGCAAGGCTCAGTTTGCTAATGTCCAGGCCGTCAATGACTATGCTGCCCGCCTCCTGATACAGGAAACGGAAGAAGGACAGGGCGAGTGTGCTCTTGCCCGAGCCGGTGCGGCCGCAGATACCGATCTTTTCCCGCGGCCCAATCTCAAACGAGAGATCGCGCAGCACAGGGTCGAGCTGTGGAGCGTATTTGCACGTGAGATTTGAGACGACGATGGAGCCATCGCGGCTGGGCCATGCAGCGGGGGGCTCGACGCCCTCGCTCCCCTCCGATTCTTCCTGCTCCAGTTCGAGGTCTGTGTGAGCACTGCCACGGCGCGCACTTACATTCGGCGATGCGCTCGACGCTGTTCATGTTCATTTCAGCGTCTGCGTACAGGCGGACAACCCATAGGACGTAGTCGGTGAAGGACAGCGCGTAGGTGATTGATAAGCCGGCGGTGGCTGCGTCCATTTCCGACTGCAGAGCCAGCACGCACGCCAGAACGGTGATGAGCGTGCCAATAAAATTAGAAAGCACGTTTAGCGCTCGGTTGGACTGCCACAAATACCAGAAACAGCGGGTGTTAGTGTCCAACTCCGCGAGAAGCTTGGACATGAAGCGCGCGCTGTCCGCGTAAGACCGGATCGTCGACATGCCCACCAGTGCCTCGGAGAAGGACACAAAAATCGGCGAGCGGGTGACGCTGTCGAAGCGCTTGATCTCGCGCGACGTGGTCACGTACAGCGTCCCCACCATCCAGTACATGACGGTGATTAATGGGAAGGCGATGAGGAATGCGGGCGACGAGTACGCGACGACAATCAACACGGTCGCGCACGAGAGCACGCAGTTGACAAACAGCATGAGGATGAGGGTCGTCTCCTGGTCGACGGAAGACATGTCCTTGCTGAGGCGGTTCATGATGCGTCCGCTGGGCGTCGCGTCGAAGAACCGCAGCTTGGCGCCGAGGATGCGCGCCAGCATCCGCCTGTAGATCCACTCGCTGGCGTGCAGCGATCCCATGAAGGACACGCCGATGCGCGCGGCGATCATGAAGATGTACACGGCCGAGATGGCGAGGTACACAAAGAGGTAATACTGGACCGTGTGTTCAGACTTGGTGAGCACGCCGTTCTGGATCATAAGGCGGTTCGCACTGCTGCCTGCGCCGGCCCACTCCTTGATCCACCAATTCGACAGGTATTGGAATACCTGCGAGCCGATGAACGCGACGAAGAGCACAAGCCAGAATGGCAGCCCACCCTGCGCCCGGAAGTAGAGCAGGTATGTTCCCCAGCGGATCGAGCCTTGGTTCGACTCCTCGTCCTGGACGAGCCTTTTGTCTGGCTGCGTTTCAGCATCGCCCTTGCCGCTCTTGCGAGAGGTGGAGCGCGTTAGGCCGTCGCCCGCCGCAATAGCGTCGAGGCGCTTCTTAGCGACGAGAGCATCATACTCCAGCCCGTCGAGGTTATCTTCGATGCTGTCGTCCACCTCACCGCCCTGCAGGACGGAGCGGCGGCGCGAGCGTGGAACCTTGGCGCTCAGCTGCGAGGCCTGCTCGCTGGACACACTCAATCCGCCATTCACGGGCATGATTGTTTCGTCTGCGGCCGGCGTGGTCGGCTCAGACTCGGCTTCGAGGGCGCCAGACGCGATGAGCATCGCAGGCGACCCACTAGACACAGCCTTGCCGTCGTCGAGCATGACGACGAAGCTGGCGGCGGGGAGGCACAAGCCGACGGCATGCGTCACGAGGATGCACGTGCGACCCTTCATGAGTGGACCGCGGAGCACATGCTCGTAGATGTGCCGGGCGGTCTGCGCGTCCACAGCGGACAGCACGTCGTCGAGGATGACGGTTGCGGCGGGTGAGTACAGGGCGCGAGCGAGCGCGATGCGCGCCTTCTGGCCGCCCGAGCACGTTGTGCCCTTCTCGCCGACCTCCGTCTCGTCGCCGAGATCGAAGATCTCGAAGTCGCGCTCGAGCGCGCACGCGTGCACGACGGCTTCGTAGCGCGCTTCATCCCAGGTTGAGCCGAAGACGATGTTCTCACGGATAGTCGCGCCGACCAGCCACGCCGTTTGGGCGCAGTATGCCACCGTGTCTGACAAACCCGTGACGGGATCGACCGGGCACAGGTCGCGGCTGGCATGGTCGTTGGGCATGAAGACTTTGCCGGTGAGGAGGACGGTCTCGCCGAGAAGCGAGAGGATGAGCGTCGTCTTGCCCGAGCCGACTGGCCCAGTGACAAGACTCAGCTCTCCTTTGGGGAAAGAGAGATCGAGCTCGCCGAGGCGGAACGGCTGCGCGCCGTCAGTGCCCGCCTTCTCTTCGCCTGGGTATGCGAAGAGGGCGTCGTGGAAGCCGATGGCGGGATCGGATGGCCCCGGCGTCGACACCTGGGTGTACTTCAGCGTCTCAGGCTCGTCAAGGAAGTCCTGGATGCGCGACGCAGACGTGTAAGCCTGGATGAGACGGATGACAACGTCTTGATAGAGCGCGAGCGGGTCGCGCAGCATGTTGAACAGGACGAGCGAGGCGAAGGCGCGGTCCGGCGTGAGCGGCTGCTTGAGAACGAGGACGTGCACGCCAAACGCGGTGCCCGTGACGAGCACGGGTGTGGCCCACGCCTGGACATTGGAGAGCGAGATCATCGCGAAGCGCTGAGCAAGGGCACCCAGTTCAGCCTTGCGCGTCTCTCCCATACGCTCGAGGAACTTGGCCTGCCATGAGTTGTACTTGATCAGCTTGATGTAGGAGATGACCTCGGTGACGGCGTCGAGGCGTTTGTCGGTTGCGCTCAGAAGGCGACGCTGATATACGGTAAACAGCTTGCCCATAAGTGTTTGGAGAGGGATGAGCGCAACGAGTACAGCGACACCAGCAGCGGCTGCGGGACCGAGCGTCATGAACAGTAGCGTGAGGTTGACGAAGAGGGCGAACGGGCAGCTCGCGAGGTAGTACGTGTACGCGCACACCTCGGAGATGGCGAACGCGTCGACCGAGACGAGGTTGTTGATCTTGCCATCGGAGGACGACTCGCTCTCGCCCTCCTTCTTGATGGTACCGGAGCGATCCTCGCGGCGGAGTGCCTTGGCAAATACCTCCCCGATGATGATCGCGCGCATGCGGATACACAGCCGACGTCCCAGCATGAGAGCGAGGCCGTATATCACGACGCCGACGCTCTGCCCGACGGCCACTGTCGTCAGTTCACGTGCGCGACGGCTACTCACTCATGGCGACGTACAGCGCTGCGGTGCCGATGTGGCCGCCGCCGGCGTCGTGTTCAGCGATCTGCTTCAGAAGCAGCCGCAGCCCCGTGGGTGGCAGATATTGGAGTACGACGAAGAGGCACGCGACGACGCTCTGGCGCACCAGCTCGGGACGGAAGAAGACGAGCAGGTCCAGTGCGAGGTTGCGCTTGCGCGGCGAGTTGTTCCTGACCTCATACGCGGCGTCGCGGGCCGCCTGGAAGCGGCGGAAGGCGCCCACGGATGCCGAGGCGCTGTCGTCCTCGCGGATCGCGGGAATCTCCTCCAGCGTGATCGGCTTCCAGTAGTACTTCCACAGGAACGGGAGGATGAACCAGTACGTCGCGCGAGAGAGGCCGGCTGATGTCAGCGCGCCATGGCCGTTGCGGCACTGGTGCCCAGCGCACGTCGTACTCACAGCTTGGCTCCTCGATATGCCTGGGCAAGCCTGTGCCTGCCCCACCTTTCGATACGCCGCCGCCGACAAGCCGGTCCAACCTGTCATAATATGGACAAGACATGAGTGCGGCCCAATACACCGACTCCCAGACGATGAGCACTAGGCTGAGTTTGCTGGACGGGTAGTTGCCCATGACGGCGGAGCGGAAGAGGAGGAGGGCGGGCACGAGGTGGATGGTGAGGAGGGGGAGGACTGGACCGCCGGCTACGGCGAGCGCAAGCATGGTGGTCTGCATCAGCGACGGTAGGGCGTGAACGTACGGGAAAGATGAGGGGGCGTGCGTCCTCCCACGCCACATCTGTGATGGATGACGAGTCCTCCATGAGCCGAGCGACTTCGAGCGCGATCCAGACGCCCGCGCCGACGATTGAGATCCAGTAGAACGCGGCATCCCAACGCGTTCGCGCGACGCGGAAGGCGGCGACTGTCTCCTCCTCCTCCGCGTAGGGCAGGGGCGCGCTTTTGCGCGGCAGTCGCTCGGGGGGCGGCGCCGTCGGTGAGTCAGGTGTGAGTGGAGGTGTGGGCGGGCGCTCGACATCGTCAGATCGTCGGCCGGGCAGGGTGCGCGCGAGGCTGCTGAGCAGCACACGCGCTTCGAGCTGCGCCAGCAGCCCGCCGCCGGGCGGAACGAGCGACGCCGCGGTGGTCGGTGTGCGCCGGCCGCGCGGGCCCAGGATGAACACCGCCGCGAGCGCCGCAAGTGCGAGCGGCGCATTCGCGATGTATCTGCTATCAGCGACGAAGGTCGGGGACGCACGTATCGCGGAAGCACGGAGTGAAGTCGCTGCCGTCCCACACACCGCAGCTCATGGTCGGTGGGTATGCAAGTGACGAAGCGATGTGGAGATCTCGAGATGAAATTCGTTCCACCCGTAAACATATCGGACGCCCAAGCGGAACGCCGGCGGCAGCCCTGGCGTCCATGTGGGCGCTGTGCGCGAATTGTGTCTGCGTGTCTCTCACGGCGTCACTCTGTCGCAGAGCCGCACACCCGGCTTGGCGCCAGCTAACGCCGGTGATCGTGACCTTGCGGAGGGCGCAAGGGCGCACGTGCTCACGTGCCGAAGCCGCCGGCGATCCGGCGATGACGATCGGCGAATCGACGAGCACTTTTATCTGGCATGTATCAGATAAGGTACCCTCGTTTTAAGCAAGAGACGCGTCCGTTCAACGCATGTTCTTTCGCAATTGCCCGACACGCATGGGCTATGGATCGAAGGGCGCACTCTTGATGGAATTTACGCTTCCCCCCTAACGCAGCCCCTTCCACGCGGCATTTGTCCATGCGCTACATTTGCGGGGTGACTTTTCCGCGATGAGACATACATGAGACATCGCTTCTCGCTTATAACGTTACCATGTGCCACAGGACGAGCTCGGGGTATGTTTATTGCTCGTTAAGCCTCGTTAGGCAGAGGGATTACATGTCAACCGCGCTGGCGGTGGTTCGTTCGTCTGTCACTTGGGGTGACACCACTGGGACCAAAGTGTGACATTGGGGAGTGTGTTAAATCCCTCAAGCCTCCAGCCAGCAGCCAGCTCGGGTCTCATGTGGCGACGCACTGTGCTGTCGACTGCCAAATGGAGTTGGATCGTCCACTGGTACATGAGGATATCGGGAGCGTATATGCCATTAGCGACACCTTCGTACTCAGGATTTGGTCAGAGGCTCGGCTCGGCTCGGCTCAGATATTCTCTCCCATGTTCACCTAGCATTGGAGAGTAGATCAAATTGGCCCCATCACTAGGATACAACCGCGCCTACAGGTCGAACTTGTTACATGATGAAGACTACTGAACATGCTGCCCGGATCCCACGTGATTACTTGTACTTGGCCATGAAGTCGTTGTGGAACTTCTCAATCTTGGAGACGTACTCCTCAACACCGGGACACAGCGCGGTGACACGCATGTGGTATGTGCCGGCCTCCTGGCCAAAACCAGAGCCTGCAACGGCGCAGATACCAGTGGCGTCTGTGTGTTAGCATTCTGATGACTGGGATAGGCAGAGGGTGAGCGTGTCCGTCGCCACTTGGGCTCTGGACACACGTTTGCGCCTCATCTCGACTCACCAAGAAGGTCAAGCGTGTACATGACGTCGGCAGGCTTGCCAATCTCCTTAGCCTTAGCAATGGCCTTCTCAGGCATTGTGATCTGGGGGAAGAGGTACATGGCGCCCTCGGCCGGCTGGCAGCTCATGCCCTCAAGCTTGTTGAACTGCTCGCACATGTACTTGGAGCGGGAGGCGAGGTTGTCGTGGGTGAGGGTGGTCTCGGTGAGCCACTGCTCGTATGACTCGTCGCCCTTCTTGGGTGGGTTGACAAGAAGGTCGACGCCGATCTGACCAGTCACAGGTGGGCAAAGAGTCACCGAAGCCATCTTGTAAATCTGCTCTACAACATCGGGGTTGATGTTGCAAAGCTCAAAGTATCCGCCGCGACGGCCGCACTCGCCCGACACGCCCTTCGAGATCGAGTGGAACGAAACGAGCTCGACGCTGTCCGCAATATCCATGGGCATGCTCTTGACAACTTCCTTGAACGAAATGAAGGGGCGGTGCTCAGGGTCAAAGATGTTGCGCTGGTACACCTCGTCGGCGAGGAGAACCATGCCCTCGTCGTAGCAGAGCTGCACCACATCCTGCATCGCCTCGCGGGAGAGACACCCGCCGGTGGGGTTGCCGGGGTTGATGACAGCAAGGCACTTGATCTTGGTGCCCTCGGCCTTGGCCTTCTCCACGCTCTGCTTGAGCGACTTGAGGTTCATCGACCACTGAGCATCCTCCTGCAGGTAGTAGGGCACAGCCTTGGCACCAATGTGTGCGAGCGTCGCGGTGTAGAGCGGGTACTGGGGGATGGGGATCATGCAGCCCTCGCCCTCCTTGAGCGAGATGTCGAGAATCTGGGCAACACCGGCCGACGCGCCGGCAGTCAGGAAGATGAGTTCGGGGTCCGAAGGGTGGCCGTCGCGCTCTGTGCGTCAGCGTGTGCGCCCACTATGTGGTTCGGATCTACGCGCGGCGATCGGCGAAGCGCTCGTCGAAGAGAGGCGCGCCTCGCTCCCGAACTCTCGGGCCTCGCGCCGGGATCCTCTGAGAATCTCGTGTCGCGCCCCGCGTCTTGCCGGTGTTTGCAATCGGCGCGCTCGGCTCGCCCAGCCGCGCAGTCATCCAAACAAAGCCCGCCTCGACCTGATAGGCCGCAATCCGCTTCGGCATGATAGGCCCTGTAGCTCGAGGGGCACAGACCAATCTTCACGCTCGCTCCCTCTCTCCACGTCGCGTCCTACTCACCCTGGAGAAACTTGGCGACACGCTGGCGGATGGCGAGCACACCCTTCGAGGGGGTGTAGGCGCCGACCGAGCCAATCTCCTTGCGGAGGCTCTGGGCACGCTTGATCACGTCGGCGGGGTAGATCTTCTTCGCAATCTCGAGGTGCTCCTCCATAAGGTCGGGGTACTCGAGAAGCGAGATGATCTGGCGCCAGAAGGTAATGGGGCGCTGGTTGAGGCCCTTCTGCTGAGGGTTGCCGATGTTGGCGGTCACGACCTTGTCAAAGGGAAGGTTCTTGCCGCCTCCAGGCTGGTCAAGCTCTTGCATGTACTTGTCGGCCTTGAGCGCGAGCTCGCCGCGGACGGCGTACTGCACATCGAGGACGGCAGGGTTGATAGTCTCGAGGGTGAGGACGGGCTTGCGTGCGGAGGACATGGTGCGGCGGGGATACTGGAGAAAGGAAAGGGGTCGGAGAAGGGGAGCCCGCAGCGAACGCATCGACATTGTATAAAACCAACAATAATGAGTCGACGGGCCGGATCGGATGGCGGGGAGAGGAGGGGAGGATGTGGTCAGCTCTGGCTCTGAGTGGGCTGGGAATGTGGGCGGGCCTGAATGGGTGGGTGTATGACGAAGCGTGACCTGTAACCCGCGCGTCGACCTATCCTCGTCTTGTGCTCATCGTATACATGTGCCTGCGGCAACGCGACGACGGCGAGCTCCGGTCAGAGCGGCTGCAGAGACCCTTGAAAGCTCCGGGCGACGCCACGGACGATCATCCGAGGTTGATAACGGTACTGGCGCCGAGTCACATTGAGCCTCCACTTTTCTCCTCCACTCCTCCACTCGATGCTCATCGCCCATTGCCCACTTTGCCCCATCTCGCATCTCCGCTCCGGGCCGTCATTCCGCCCAACACTCGTCGCGCTTTCTGATTGGCCACTCTCAACCTCCACTCGACACCATTCTCGGCATCTTCCACCCACCACCACAGAGTGTAGAAGGCCCATGGTCGTCGTCTTGGGCTTGATCTTGTGGACCTACGTTTTGAGGCTTGCTGCCTTGGCTTTAAGGGTGACGAGAAGAGATGAGATGAGATGAGGAAAAGAGAGAGAGAGAGAGAGAGAGGAGAAAGATGACGATCTGTGTGAATGCATGGCATGGCAGTTAAGAGGGCAAGAGGCGTCTTCCTTCCTTCGCCAACCGGGGTTCCTAAACAATCCACCCTGCCAACAGGTCAACAGTCGGCACGGACCATAATCTCCTCACTACAATCGAGTTTGCCCGCCTCGCACCTCTTGGAATCCACCAGCGCTAAGATGTTCAAGCGCTCAACCTGTGCATCATGCATCACGACTCATCATTGTCCAGTTATCAACTCGGACCGCCGGCTCTGGCCCAAATGGCGATGAGAACGCGCCGCAACCCAATCCCGCCAAGGAGACCTCTCGTCAGCTCTTCCGCTCATTCGGCACCCTCAATTGTACTGTAGTATCTCACCACCCATCGCATCATCGTCTACAACATGCCAACGCCCGTAAACGCGCCCATATCTCAATCTGCTATCTCGTTCCTCGATTGTTGTCGGAATCTCAATTCCACTCGCCCCGGTCCTGTCGTCAGCCACCAGTGCCCACGTCACACTGCGCCCACGCGGCAACGCCTCCCCTGCGCACATACCATCATGCGCTCATTGCCCTGCTGCGCCTGCTGTGGGCTACGCCGCTCTTCCTGCAGCTTTGAGCTCAGCTTCCCCGCACCAGGCTTGTTTGTCGACACGCCGCGGTTGTTGGCCTGATGTCAGTGGCACCCTGCCTCGCTTTGCGCCGATCACAGAGTCTGAGAACATGAGAATGCTCTGACCCGCGCAATGCCAACGGCACAATGCCAAGCGGCAAGGAATCGCCTCAACACTTACTGCCTGTGCGCGTGCCTCTGCGGCTGCCGCTGCCGCCGCGCGCGGGTCGCCGCCGGGTGGCCCCCCTCCGGGTGACTGGGGACCTGGACCGGAAAGAGGTCTTCCCCTTCCTCCAGCAGCGGCGGGTGCATTCGCTCGCGCCTGCTGCCCGCTCGCTGGCGAGGAGGAGGGTGCTGATCCAAGTCGCTCACCGCCTTTGGATGGGTCCGAGAAGCAGTTGCCCATCGCGGAAGTGGGATGCGGGTCGTGCTGTAGTGGTGAGTGGCCAAGTGGAGGTGGGCGTGCGGACCAGCGCGCGCCAGAGACTGTCCAGAGTACGGAAAGTGGAGATTATCGAGGTTCGGATGCGATGAAATAAAGAGCGTGGTAAATGTCGCTGCGTTCGTGGAGAGCGTTGATTGTCTTGTTGTCGATGGTGTCTGACCTGCTCGCCAAGCCAGCCATTCATGTGGTCGCTGGCCGCCCGTGGAATGAGTGGAATGACCTCCACCCACCTGTCCGCTGGAGATATCGCAATCTCCGTGATCCCCTTCGAAATCCTCTGACCTCACCACTGGCTCTGTGCTCGCTCAATCAAGCCTCAACTTTCCTTCATCACCATGGCCGCCACATCATCAGTCGAGGAGACTCTCACGGCCGCCATTGCCCAGCTCGAGTCCGAAGCTACGCTCAAGAAGGTGTGTCTAATGTCTGTTTCCTGAGCAAGGCTTACATCAGTCCATCCGCGAGGCTGCTGAACCGGTGGAGGACATTGTGCGCCAGGCCACCGCGGAGTTGAACCGCTTGCATTCGTCTGCCGCCTCACAGCGTGCGTCATTATTGCCTCTATCAATCTGTATCTGACAGCAGACGAGGCCATCGCTACCAAAGCACTCGAGACCATCGCTGGCGCGCACTCGCACTGGGTCAACATCGCCGCCCTCATCCCGAAGGGTGAGTTCTACCGGTAAGCTACTAGACTCGAGACATAGCTGACAGCAGCTACCAATTTGCCGTCGCACCCATGTTCCGCAGCCTCGTGACAAGTATCGCACTCGCGCGCTTCGTGCTTCGCGACGAGCTCGTGCCCAAGTTCACCGCCGCCACACTCATGGGCCGTATGTTGCTACGTGGTTCAGAGCTGACATCCAGTCCAGGGCGAGACCGTTGGCGAGCTCGAGGTTACTTCAGACGACTACCTTCAAGGCGTTATCGGCATGGTTAACGAGCTGGTACGTAGTTTGGGCTCAGCTCGACAGTATCGCGCCAGCTGACGCCAGCCGCGCTTGTCTGTCAACTCGGTCACTGCGCAGAACTTTGCGCTCCCTAGCCGCATTGCTGCTTTCGTCAACGATATCTTTGCCAGCTACTCCATGGTAAGTAGGGCAGTGGAAGAGACAAGCAAGGCTTCCACTGTTCATTCACGGCGTGGCCGACCCTAAGATCCAACTAATCCCAGCTCAACCTCCGCAACGACCAGCTGCGCCGCAAGTTTGACTCGCTCAAGTACGACCTGAAGCGCTGCGAGGACGTCGTGTACGACCTCACACTGCGTGGCCTTGCTCCCGCTCCCTCGGCATAGACAGATGTGCACCTCGGCTTGGATATTATGCATTGGACGTGTACGCGTATAGATGTATGTAAACAAAGCACACATTTGGTTCCGCTGCCACTTTGCGGGGATACAGAATTGTAATGGGTGGCGTGTATAGATTGTGCTTTGAATGAGCCCTCGCCCCTGGACAGCCCGTCAGCCCGCGTGCGGACCCTGAGCCGACGTTCACCTCACTCGTTGTGACTCGTCCATCATCTCTCATTCTCTCTTCTCTCATCAACTGTCTCGTCTGCTTTCCATCTTGCGCTCCCCCATCCACTCCCAGCGACACCCATCCACCCCGTACACACTTCTACAATGGCGTCCATGGACATTGACAAGCCTCTCGACGAGGTGCGTACAACCTTCCGCAAGCGCGAAGACGCCAGCTGACACTGGCCCCCTTGCCCCTCTTGCTTTGCCACCCGACGCCCGCCTTTGTCACCTCATCAATGCTAAACCATCCACCTCTTCCCCCTTTACCACTTGCGCTCATTCATGGCCTCTTTCACCGACTACAGATGATCTCGGCCAAGCCCCGTAACCGTCGTGGCGGTGGCCGCGCGCGTGGGCCTTCCGCGCCTAACTCTGCCCCTGCCCGCGAGGCTGCCCCGCGTGGTGCTGCTGGCGCCCGCGCCCGCTACTCGGGCTCCGCCCCGCGTAACGCGTCCCAGACCCAGCGCGCTGCCGCTGTGCCGGCTGCTGCCAAGCCCATTACTGCCGACGCGACCAAGATCATCATCTCCAACCTTCCTACCGACGTGACCGAGGCGCAGGTTCGCGACCTTATGCAGTCGACCGTCGGCCCCGTTCGCACTCTTCACATGGCGTACACCGCGAGCGGCAAGAGCACCGGTACTGCCACCGTCATCTTCAAGAACCGCGGTGACGCCAACAAGGCGCACTCGTCGTGTATGTGGAAGAGGAAGGCGGTGCTAATCACAATACAGACCACAACCGGATGATCGACAACCGTTAGTGTCTCCTCATGCTGACTATTCCCTTCCCTTCGCCGCTGCTCGCCAAGGCGGGCCCTATGATTTGGACAGATGGCTAAGCGCGGTGGCGCGACTTGAAGTGAACAGCCGCGATCCCAAGATGGAACAGCGCAATGAGGCAAAGACGCGTGCAAGCTGGATGGTGTAACCATTCTCTCCTACGCAAGTCTTGTTGGTACATGGACCGAGTCTCACCGCGCCAACGGTTTGCTATGTCGACCGAGGCGCGCGGGTGGCTTTGGCTAAGTACGCGCTGCGTGGTATATGCCCCCGAGCAGCCGCCGATTAGCGCGCAACCCATGTCCTTCGAGCACAGGAGAGCATCGAGTGTCAGTCACTCCGCTGCTGTGACGGATGTTGAGCCTGTCTCCATCTACTGTCGCCAGCGTACAGCTATATTCTGTGGCGCTTTGCGCACATGCGGTTTCGATCACGCTTCCCTAGCAAGTGGTCAACACAGCCGGGGGGTCGGTCCGCGACAGTCCGACGAACGGTGGTTGTCGGATGGCAGTTCACGCGACGCGCTTCGAGACGGTTCTCGAGGTGGCTGAATGGTTACAAGGTGGTCCGGAGGACCTCGGCAGCAGTGGCGACAGCTCCCCTTTCTCGGTCTCAACTGCAATGAACTGGCGCTGATCTGTGCCTCCGCTCTACGCCTACATGTTTTTGGCTACAACTGTAACAACGACTCTACACATATCTCGACTGTATCGACGAATTCCCCACTGTATCGACAACTACTTTACTGTATCGACAACTACTGCATTGTCTCGACAACTGCTCCGACTGCATCTTTCATCATTCTGTATCGACCTCACGACTATCGACTTTTATCTGTATCTCCCTGTGATCCTTCATTTCCTCAATATTGCCCGCACAACGTGCACATTTTCACTTGCTCAACAATCCCAACGCGCACTTTCAACGATTCCGCTTCTCCGACCTCATCTCACGACCACCTTTCATCAACATCAACCGCACTTGGCATCTCTCAACAGAGCGCCCCATGAAGGTTGAGATGGCCATCGACCCCAACGCCGTCGCCTCGTCCCTGGCTTCGCGCGTCGCCGCGGCCCCTGCCGCCAACACGCGCAGCTCCTCGAAGTCCGACCCCAAGTCGTCGGCTCCTCGTGGCCGTCGCGCTCCCCGTCCCCGCGCGCCTCGCCCCGCCAAGAAGACGGCCGAGGACCTCGACGCCGAGATGGAGGTGAGCAACAACATCACGTCGCGATCGCTGCTGATGTCCAGGCCTACAAGACGACCGCGTAGATAACATACATATTAAAACACTGTCAGCTTTGAGATTCGGCGTTCCCCCCGGTTAGATGGATGTAGCTCGTTCGTTCCTTGACTTGATTGAGTGGGAAGGGGAGTCCTGCGCGGTGATGTGCCGTGGTCAAGCAAGCTCACCCGCTGACCTCGGATCTTACGACAGGGACATAGTTATGGTTTATTACCCGTGTGACAAGCTTCCCGTAACATACCCCAGTACGCTGCGCGAACCGCCTCAACACTCCATTCTGCTCGCCTCTGGCACGCCTTGATGCGGGCGTTGCTGGGAGCTACGAGGCCGCAAAAAGCGGGCAACGGCCGTTGTGAGTCCCACAACTCTGCCCGCCACCATGGGCCTCCCAGCGTTTGAGAGAGATATAAGGGCGAGGGGACGGCGGTATCCACACAGCGCTCACCATGCTTCCTCTCAAGCTCCAACTCGTTGCGCTGACCGTGCTGGGCCTCGGTGGGTCTAGCCACCACCCCGCTAACTCCAGCCCACGCCCTCGTCCCGCGCCAGGCCGAAACCTGCTCGCCCGGCCTCTTCTCCTGCGACGGCAAATGCCGCGACTTACAAACCGACGCCCAGAACTGCGGCGCCTGCGGCTGGCCCTGCGCTCACAGCCTCTATCCGGGAGGGACTTGTGAGAACGGCAAATGCGTGTGTCCCGACGGCGGCCCGGGGTGTGCGTATGATTTCGGCAACTACTGCCCCGACTTTTTCTCGGACATCATCAACTGCGGCGGCTGCAACAGAGCCGTGAGACTATCTGTCCCCTTCTACCGCCTGACACCAGTGCTCCAGCGACCAACCCACCTGCGTGAACGGCACATGCGCACCCTGCCCGGAGGACACTTTCGCGTGCTTCCCCGACCTTGGCGTGAAGTGCGCGAACTTGTCGTCCGATGACGAGCACTGCGGGCAATGCTTCGCAGCTTGCGACACGGCGGCCGGCGGCAAGTGCGTTGGCGGCGAGTGTGTCTGTCCCGCAAACCTGAGCGTGTGTCCCGGCTTGTCCTATCTCTGCATCGACACACAAAGCGACCGCGCGCACTGCGGCCGCTGCTTCCAGTCGTGCCCGTACAAGTGCGAGGGCGGCAAGTGCATCGACTGCCCGCACGGCCTTACGGGGTGCGATGGCGAGTGCACGAACTTGGCGAATGACAACGGAAACTGCGGAAAGTGCCGCAACTTGTGCTCAACCGGCCAGAACTGCGTGGACGGCACCTGTGTCGGCGGCCCCTCCGGCTGTCCCCGCGACCAAGAGGTGTGCTCCGACGAGTGCATTAATGTCCAGAACGACAACCGGCACTGCGGAGCGTGCGAGAAACAGGTGAGCGCTGGCGCGGCATCGCTAATGGAAGTGCGCGGCCGGCAAGAACTGTGTGAACGGCAAATGCGTGTAATGCTATATGACAATGACAATGACAATGACATGCAAGTGTTCCCAATCGAGTCTCGCTGGGGTTGTCGCGGTCAGAGATCTCCTGTGAAAGCGTCGCGCGACGTTTCCGCTGTTACGCGTAATTTAGACGTGGACTTCGTACCTAAGAGACCCCCTGTCTGATTGCCCCGACATTTCCGGACGTGACGACACGGTCATCTCCTCGCAATCGCGATTGTCTTGCACATTGGGTGCTGGCTTGTTTCTGCGCTACCGGAGTGCGGAAGCCCTCTCTGCTGAGTAGCGGCACATGAGACCCGCTGCGCCTGGATGCTGTTGAGGTATGCTGGAATCTCGCGGGTGTCGCATAGGCGAACGTGCCATATCCCGCCGTGATCTTTCAACGTCTTCCTCCTTGCGTACGGAGACCATTATTATTGATCTCAAACACACCAGTAGCCGTCGTGCCGTTCCCGTCGCGCCCGTCGCCGTACTCTAATATCCGCTGGAAGGAACATCTTCTCCGGGAAAGGAACTTGCCCCCCTAAACGGGACGGCTACTTCAAAATGGCGAGCCATGGACATCGCGTTCCAACTACTGTACAGTGCAGGCTTCACATGTGGCGCTCCAGTCAACCAGCGAGGAACGCTGGAATAGAACTGGCGCGCGCCGTGGTCCTCGGATGTCACCAAAGCGACCAGGCCTGTCCCGGTCTGCGCGACAGCCAGTATGCTGCTGACGTCAAAATGCCACCTCGGGAGCTGCTCTCAACCCGCAACATGCAGACAGTCGACGCGTGCGGCACTGGAGGCGGAGTAAGCGTGCCGTACCCTCCTTGAAGTGAACGTGCAGTTCTCGACGCGAGCGGAGAGAGATGCACCGACCCGCCTCCTTTGGCCGTAGTTGTCATCATTCACCCGGCTCAGCTTTGACATCCTCAGTTGCTCGTTACCAGGCATGGGACCTGGTGGGAACCCCGTATTTTATGGGATTGCTATACGGAGTCCGCCTATCACGGGGGTATTGTTCATCTGACCATCACTCGCCAAACCACGCGAAGTGCATAGACTTCAAGAAGGGGCAGACGGGCTTGTTAAACAGTGCGAGGCTCAGCCAACTTCCGAGCTGCGAGGCGTTTAAAGAGTTGGACGCGGACATGGCAACACCCCGACAAAACTCTAACAATTGCGAGCGAATCTGTGATTGCGCCGATGGCACTGGAGTAGCAGAGGCATGCATCCCGCCTTTCGTCATATGCCCGTCTAGACGGGTATCTACTTCCACTCCGATAATAGACAGTGCAGAGCGTCAACCGCCACGGCGGGATGTATGGAACCGAAGTTGCCAGTATATGTGTTAGCAGCAAGTGAGGGCCGAAGCGGCATGGACGGGGATGTGTTTGATACGTAAGGCGGGCGAGAACCAAGAGCAAACGGGGGCTGCTCTCAAGTGGGATGAGTAACCCAGTCCTAGGATGCAGATCAAGGAACGCTGCAGGCAGGAAATACACCGTAGGCCCTCCTCGCGGTTGCAACCGCTTGCGTGGTGTTGTCGAGATTAGCGTGTGCACCCCATAATAGCGCTCCTGCCTGGTCAGTTCATGACACGGCCTTGCCCAAACTAACTGAGTTAATGCGCGGCGAGCATGACGACGCCAGGGTAGAAGCCGAATCAGCGATACGTGAGCCGCGATGAAAATGCATACATGTGTCCCCAACCATGGGCCTAGTCGACCTTTGTGATGTCCGCCGCCTTCGGCACCTCTCCCACAAACAGCTGCTCCACGGGCTGGGGCTTGCGGCCCAATGCGCCGCGGGCAATACCCAGACCCGTGTAGTGGATGGGGACGCCGGGCAGACGCTCACCGGCCATGAGCTTGCGCCCGTGCTGCGGCTTGGTGAACGAGTGAGGGCGGAACTTGAAGCGTGCGGGTGGGCCGTCGCGCTGGTGTCCGAGCTCGGGGTAGGATGCGTCGCCTTCGGCGCGAAGGCGAAGCTAGAGTCAGCGGTGCAGTTAGACAGTACGCGATGCCCTTCCGCGCCAACCGCTGAGCCTCCGTCCGCGGCCCGCAATTCTCCTCTCCAAGCCTCGAAGCGTTCCGCACTCACCGAGTAGTCCTCCTGCAGCGCCTTGAACTGCGCCTTCCCCTCATCCCCGCGGTACTTGAGCACGCGCTCAACACTCCTCCTCGTCCGGGGCAGCAGTCCGCTCGTCAAGGTCTCCCTGGCCGCCGCGCGCGCCGCCATCTCGAACTTGAGATCGCGTGGTCCGTCGACCAGCGACAGGATAGCAACTGGAGCGTTGTCGCCTGGCCGCTTCCCGAATCGCTGGATGCGCGTATATCCTCCGGGACGGTCGGCGTAGCGCTGCGCGAGCGGCCCAAAGACCTTGGGCAGAAGCGAGGTGCTGGGCACGAAAGCCTCGGGGTCCTCCAAAGCGGAAGGCGGCAGAGTCGGGGTGACAGGCGCGTTGTACGCCTCGGATGTGTAGTGGTGCGCGGGCATGAGGAAGGCCTGGGCGTTCGAGCGGGCAACATTCGTGCCCTTCTTGCCGAGGGTGATGATCTTCTCGGCCATGCGCGCGGCCTCCTTGGCCTTCGGGACAGTCGTCTTGATCATCTCGTGGTGGAGGAGCGCCGAGACGAGGTTGCTGGAGTCAGCGAGGATCGGCGCAGCTCGGCGCAGGCTTGCCGAAGAGCAAAGACTCACCGGAGCAGCGCATAGCGGTGCGAGCTGGTGCGCTGCAGCTTGCGCATCTTGAGGCCGTGCTTCATGTTGCCGTCGTCACCACTTGTGTGCTCGTTGCGATCTCGACTTTTGGAGGTGGCCCGAAATACGCCGGAAAGTCAAAGTGCCACACGGACGGAGGCAATTCATAACGCCGTCCTCTTGCCATTCCCTGGCTTACGACTGGACCCGCCCAGCGCCCAGCGACAGCAGCCTTCCCACCGAGAACGACTGCTGCTCATCATCTCGACCTCCCTCCAACCCATCACTATGTTCCGCCTCGCCCTCCGTGCTGCGCCCCGCTACGTTCGCCCCGTCGCTGTGCCCCGTGCCATGGCCGTCCGCGCCTACTCGGCGGCTTCCCTCACCAAGGAGGACGTGACTAGCCGGGTTCTTGACGTCCTCAAGTCTTTCGAGAAGGTTGACGCCTCGAAGGTACGCAAGTCGGGTGGGACGCCGTCCGGAGCGGGGAGGAGGGGCGGGGGCAGTGATTGGGGTAGACGAGGCTGTTGGACAGCTGCGGGGTGCACTGCGCCTTCCAGCGTGCGGCAGAGGTGCAGACAGTACCTCGGACGTCACCGTTATCCTCCACTTCTGTCCGCCTGCCGTTCTTCCTCGCCTCTGGCCGTCTCTTGACTCAGCTTCTCTGCGCAACGCTCACACCAGCTTGCCCCCACTTCCCAGTTCACCGCCGACCTCGGCCTGGACTCGCTTGACGCCGTCGAGGTTGTGATGGCCATCGAGGAGGAGTTTGCCATTGAGATCCCTGACGCCGAGGCCGACGCCATTGACTCGGTGGACAAGGGTGAGTTTACTACGCCCATGCAGAGCTGACAGCCAGCGATCGAGTATGTCATCAAGGTTGGTACACCCTAGTTGCGCGCGAGACAGTTGCTGACCACACCCCGTTCTACAGACCCCGGAGGGTGAGTGCGCAGCAAAGTCTGCCTTTTTGAACTCCACTGACATCACAGCACATTAATTACAGCACCCGCGAGAGATTGGCATGCAGACATAACATCGGTTGCAATCTGACTGCAAGCAGAACTTTGGACTGACTGTATGTGCAGATATACATGCTTACATCTTCTGGTCAACTACCATAGGCTCGTCAGCCCCGCCCTCATGCGCTTTCCCGTTGGCCAAGCCGTTGCCGTTGACCTTGTCTGGCGATGAGCCTGGCACGTCCACGCTCGTGTACCCCTGCGTCGCCTTTGCACCTTCGCTGTAGACCGCAGGCGGTGGTGGCGACGAAGGAGGCGGCGATATTTCTCTGCTTGGGGCATACGACTCAATTCCCTGGTCTTCATATTCCTCGGCGTCGACGCGCGCCTGCAGACGCCCAGACCGACGTTCTCCAGGGATGGCGGGCTTGCGAGGTGGCTCGTACGCGGCGGGGGCGGCTCCGCGCCGTCCGCCACGGCGTGGAAGCTCGTCTTCCTGACAATCAGTCCCAGCTCTCGCGACCACGACTCACCTCTTCGTCCATCGAGCCGTACGTGTAGTCCACCTTGCGGGTGGACCGGCGCGTGCGAGTCGTACGCAGTTCGGCAGCCTGGAGGATTCGCATGGTGTCAAGGTTTTTCTTGCGGGCGCGAGCGACGCGAGCTTCCTCCTTCTCGACGTCTGGAAGAAACTGCTCGATCCATTCGCCGAGCCGCTTCTCGTCCTCGACCCCCTTGATCTGCCGCCGATGTGCCAACGCCTCCTTCTGCGTTGTTTTGCCCTTGGGGCCCGACCCTTTGGGCTTGGGTATGACAGCCTCCCCGTACACCTTGAAAGTCTCCATCTGCCTCTGGAGCTCGTCTCTTGTGGACGTCATGGTGACCAGAGGACATGGCCGCTTGAATGGGTTGCCTGACTTGTACAAGCGCGCGGATTCTAACATTAGCTCGGCAAGGGGAAGAGTACTCACTGTCAATGCTCCAAATTCGATTTTTGTTGCGGTCAAGACCGACGGGCTCGATCCAAATGTCGGCGTTCTTGTCCACCTTCTCCTCGTCGGCATCGGGATTCTTACGCTTCAGTTTCTTCTTGTTCGCCTCGTCCTTCTTGGCCTGCGCCTCCTTGACCTTCTCCCTGATCACGTCTGAATGGGAGACTGGGATGAGCAATGAAGCTAATAAACGGAGACTCACGCTGCCAGTCCACGAGTTGACGCAACAGGCGCGCGCGCTCGTACCAATCGAGCTCGAATATACCCCCGCCCTTCTTCTCCATCTGGGCGATTGGGTTCTTCTTCACCCGGGCCTGCTTCTCCTCGTTTGGCCCACGCAGACGCCCCAAGAGCATGCGGTCGGCCGACTTGTTACAGCAGTCGCCCCGCGCCTCTTCGTGCGGCGCCCATGGGCGGTCCCATACGGTAAATTCTGTCGAATTGAGCAGCATGTCGGAGATGTAATTGGATAAGTGTGACTGGATGTTTGTGCAACTGAGTGTTAATTGGGCCTAAATACACGAAAACTCACTCAAGGTTGCGTAGCCCGGGCTTGAGGTTCTTGAGGAAAGCAATGAGGACGCCCTCAAGCACATCGTCTGGCCGGTTCGCGACCGGCTCACATAGACTCCGCTCAAACCTGAGGTCAGCGCGCGATGGGCGAAAGTGGCATCCGGGCGTGCCGTCAGAGAACCCGTTAGGCGGACAGCGGAACCAGCCCCGCCCACGCGAGCCCTCTCAAATCCAACCAATTCAAAGTGAAACACGACTCACTCCTCGAGGCTCAGCAAACTGCCGATCCTTGGCAGAAGCCCAAACTTGACAATGAATGCCCAGACGTACGCCACCTGCCAGCTAGTTGTCAGCATTGTGGCGGATGGATGCACAATGGGTGTGAGTGGACGAGGAAAGACCAAGGCCCACCTGCCAACGTCCGGGACCTGAAGACATCACAACACAATTTCACTCACTCGTCCTGCACACGCTCGGGTCGTGGAGGCTCATAGGCATGGTGCGCGAGGTCAGCCTCGTGTCGGCTCTGCGCTGCGGCGCGCGCGATGGAGCTGCCGTCTTCGACAGGGGTGCCGTCTGGGTCCTCTTTGACGCCTCGAGTCGCTTCATCGGTGTTTTGCAACGCGCCTGGAGTGCCTGCGCGCGAGCCTGTGTTGCTGCGCGCCCCGGCGGCGGATGAGGAGGCCCGGGGGGCCGAAGGAGGCATGAGATGTCGCGTGAGTGAGGCAGAGGTTGTGCGAAGAGGTGTGAGATGCTGTGAAAAGATGTACGAGCAGAGATGATATGAGACAGATGGATGACGGTTTGGTGATGTCGGAGAGCGATTGAGAGGAGGTGAGCGGTGTTGAGGAAGGTCGAAGGAAGGTGTGGTGACTGGATCGCGACGAGCGCGAGCCAAGCAGGAGACAGGGAAAGCTCAACAGATCAGTGTTGATAGTTATCTCCACGTCATTTTGTTTGATATCCCCGTGGGGATTGCAGGGTGGAGCTGCGATCCGTGACTGACCTGGGTGATCGTCATTTCGCCGCTGGACCGGCCAATTTGCCACCGAACACTTGCTCAATTGCTGAACGACCATGGCAGCCAACACCATCGCATGGGGAGGTGAGTCTGCGTTTGTGTTGCATGCGATATACGGGTTGTGATGCATGCTTACACAGAAACGCGCGCCCCGATCCATCGCGGCGAGAAGCTCCTGACGCCTGGGTACGCGACGGATCTCGAGCTCAAGATCCCCGCCACCATCGAGGGCCCGAAGCGCACCGAGAAGAGCTGGGGGCGGATTTGGCTTACTGACCAACGCGTGAGTGGCATGCGCGACTAAAACAGAGCTGATGGCAGATCATCTTCATCGCGCTCAAGCGGCCCGGCGGCGAGGACTTGAATGCGCCACACCGCGAGCCCGGCGCACCGGAGCTGCACTCGCTCATCATCCCCTATGTGAGTGGCTTCTGGCGGAGAATCTGAGCTGATGATAGGACACGATCAAGGATACGTCGTTCCACCTCCCCATCTTCAGTGCCAACCACCAGCTGATCGAGTTTTTGCCTGATCCCACACATCCCAGTCCGAACCTTCCAAATCCCGGCAACGACTCTGCCCTCGTGTGCAAACTCATCTTGTCGGATGGGCTGGGACACAACATGTACAAGCGCATTGAGAAGGAGCGTGAGGCCTGGCTCAAGCGCCTGCGTGAGGGGGAGACGCTTCGTGAGTGTTGCGCTGACGTTGAAGGGGTCTGATGGCGTGCTGACACCAGCGGCATACACTCCAGCAGCACCAGGCGAGGCGCCTCCTCCGCCTCTATCCACCGACTGAACGCTATGGCGACCGACTAGAACCCCGTCGACCAACTAGACCTCCCTAGATTAGAAGTACAAGTACTGCATACATACATACATAGTCTGATAGAGCTACCCCGTGCGGCGTGGGTACCACCACGCACCATCTCTCCCCTTGACAACTCGCACATACTTCGCCACGAGCTTGTCTCGCGCCTTGCTATCGCCTTCGGGGTAAAGTCCGCGCATGAAGGGAATCATCTCGTCAGGCCTCCATCGCGGGCGCGCAAGGAAGAGGTCGGCGAAGCGCGTCGGCGCATGAGCGCTCAGCGTGTGCACGGGGAAGTACTCGACAAGCTGCCCCTTCGCAGTGGCCGCTGGCGGAGGGTCGCGGAGGAGATACGAGCCAGTGAGGAGGTCCATGGCGACATGGCCCTCGAATGCACCGGCTTGGATGCGCCAGTCGGCAAGTAGACTGTCCAAGGGGGATAGGGCTGTCTGTTGTTAGTGCATTCCGTTGTGTGATACGCACGCCTTGTGATGTAAGGAGCCCTCGGCCGAGTTCGCGGACTGCAGCCGGCACGTCTGCCGTCCAGTCGTCGCCTACGACGTTGCCGAAGAGGTTCATGACGCCACGAGAGAGATCTGGTGGAACATCGTGCTCGTCGGCGAGAGCTGAGATGATGGCTTCTGCCGGCGCTGAGCTGGCCACCCCGTCGGAGTCAGAGTGCACTGTAAGGAGGGCGAGGAGGAGGGAGAGCAGGGATGCGAGTTCTGGCGGGCGGAGGAGGAGCATGTATCCGCCGACTTCGACGATGTTGGCGTCGCACAGGGCACGCGAAAGCTCTCCCTCGCTAGCCTGGACGACGCTACTAAGCTGTGCGCGAGTATACCTCTTCCCTTTCCGTTTGCGCTTCTCCCCTGCCCTCTGATGGTCAGGCCATGGGGGATGCCCGACGCCGCGCCACGCGCTGTCCCGCAGGAGTGTGTGGAGGCGCTCTGTACGCCCGGCCGCGGGGACACATTCGAGGACCTCATGGCGAATGTCCCGGATATGCAACTCTTGTGCGGAGGAAGAGGCCGGCGGGCGAAGGACAAGCAGCGAGTTCGAGATGCTCACCCCGCGCAAGGCGTACGTCTTGTCCTGCGTGCAGAGCACCGCGTCGTCGCTTGGACGGCCCTTGATGGTCAGTCTGGTGTTAGCACTCGGCGAAAGCAAGGGCTCACGAGACGCTCTGCCCACCCTCGACAGCCTTGAAGATGTCGGGCGGCAGTTCGAGGAACTGGTACATTTCATCCTGCACGGTGGTGGGGAAGCGGACTGTAACGCATTTGGTGGGCAGCACCATCGCGAGGCGAGGACAGTCGAAGGCTGCAGCGGATGAAAGGACGCGGGGAAACCGAGATGAAGACGGAAAGGTGTAATGATATCTGCAGTTGTCAGAGTTTGTCGACAATCCATCAAACGACGCGCTCGCAACGCGCCGGTCGCGTCCTCAGTTGCATTTGTTTACGTGCCCGATCATGCAGAGAATGCGCGCTGATTATCCGCGCGCCTATCCTTGCACGTGGGAGCCTGGATGGAGAATCTCTGTACCCTCATTGCATTTGACAGGTGACGGTAGGCTTGCAGACCTGTGTACAGCACGAGCTGTGTTGTGGCCGAAGTTCCTCCCGGATCCCCGGTCCCATGTCCGAATGGAGAGACTAATAAGTGAGGTGCGGTGCTGTTCAAAGGTCTGCATCTACTTGGAACCACTGTCAGCGCCGAAAATTCAGAATGGGGCGATGAGGACCTTCGGAGCCGCAAGGTGGGCACCTCGGTGAATACCGGACAAGGCTGAAGACAGATCAGTGCTCGCTCCCCGGCCCCAGTGTTGGCTACCGTGCTTCCCCGTCTGCCGTCAGGCCAGCACCAGCGCTGCGAGTAACGTCGCATTTATACATTCTGAGCCGCAGCTCAGCACCTTGCTACGCCCTCAAGATACATCTCGCGCCCAGATCTCATGCGAGCCCGTACGAGAGCGAAGATCTCGCTCTAGAGGCTCGCATGCACCCCGCAACCCAGACCCACCACCAATAGCTGCGTCTATATCTGCGAGCTCCTCGTCTTCAACTCCTGCTCCTCGGCGTATCAAAAGCCTCGATGCTGCTCTCGACAGCCTGCCTCCCGCTGTCGTTGCGCGCCCCCCTCATACGGGCCGCAACGGCCTCGCCTACCTCCTCCGTCTCCCCGCGACAACATCGTCCCTTGGACGGCTCCTCCCAGCCGTCACTTGCTCCATCGAGCCGAGTGTGACGGCATACGATCGCCGCCTCCGCGCGCTGGGCTGGTACGCGCAAGCTGCTCAGCGCGCTCACGCGTTGACGTTCATTCGGCCTGTGGTTGACGAGGGATTGAGGGTGCTCACAGCCATTTCAGATCTCGAACGACGACGGAGCGACATAGTCGATCGCACAATTTCCCGATACCATCGGTTTCTTCGTGCTCTAGCAGGGGGGAGCAACGCCTCTGCTCTTCCCAACGCACTGCAAGAGGAGCTGGGACGTGTCGTCGGCGTCCTCACATCCAGCCTCGAGAGCATGACACCACCAGCGAATCTCGCTGTCAGGCCCGCCAGTTTCAACGCCCTGCTCTCTCCACGCTTCCTCGTTCCCGCCACACTCGCACCTGTCCTTGCTCACGTGAATAACACGCGCATCGCACTCTCGTCCAGCCAGTGGCTGGCCGTGGCAACCGTCAGCCTAGCGTCCGGCAGGCAGCAGGATGCGCTAAACGCGCTTGCTCAGTCCGCCGGCGGTGGCTCCTCGGCAAGCCACCGTCTCATGGCAGCTGAAGGGGCAGCGTCACTCGCCGAGGCTGTCGAGTTGCTGCAACCGATTGTCGCGAGCATGCCCGTCGACACTGACTCGAACATTGACGGCGCTAGACCCCAGGCCGCTGCAGCGGCGGACGCTGTACAAGAGGGTATGGACTTGGACACCTCCCGACGTGCATGGTCCATCCTGCTGTCCCGCGCCGCGAACAACGACGGCGTGTCTGCTAAGCAGCTGTCGGCGCTTGCGGCCCAAATCCCAGATGCTATGATTGTCGGCCACACCATCACACCCGTGATGCACGGCCTAGTTAGACGTGGCGACCTTGTAGCTGCGCGCCGGATTTGGCGCGACCTTCAAAATAGCTATCAGGCCGCCACAGACAGCGGGATGCGCGCTGCTCTCATCGATGCAGCAGCACTCTCGGTGGGGGCTGAGGTGCAGTTTGCCCGGCCAGATGGGCTCGTCCATGCCCTCAAGGCCGTGGACTTCTACGCCTGGCGACCGCAGCAGGGGCACAAGGTTGAGTCCCCGCGACCGGCAGGCGGCCGTGCGGTGCGGCTTGATACGCAGTCACTGAACTTGCTCATCTCGCTTGCGTCACGAGACGGCAAGCCCGGCGTTGCGTTTCGGCTTTGGGAGGCAGCGCGCGATCGCTGGGGTGTGATACACGACGATATCACTCTGACCAATCTTATTGAGTGTGCACGGACGTGCGTCGAGAGCGGCTTCGACCCCGGCATGGACACTCTCCGTGGACGACTACGAGCGTTAGCTTCGGCGCTACACTCAGCTCCCACGTACCAGAAGAAGGAGGTCGACTGGCGGGTGGTGCCGCTCAAAGCGCTCCTCGATCCCCCACGGTACAGCTGGCACGAAGAGTACGGGGGCCAGCAACCTTGGGCGCGTGCGCGCGCTCTGTTTCGTGCGGTTGTCTTAGGCAATTGGCCTGGACTTGAACAAGTGCCGTCTCCACTTGGCGCGCGGACCTTCTTGGGAATCGCAGATCTCATCGCGCCACGCGCCTTCCCCGCCCCATCAACTTACCCCGCGCCAGCCTCCGGTGCCGTATACGCGCACGTGATCCCCAGCGCCAAGACGTGGGAAGCGTACATGTCACTCCTCCGGCAGTATGGCGCGGAATTTGGCGACGCGGCCGCGGCCGAGGACGAGGTCGCTCGCGCGCTGGGATGGATGCGCGCGTTGGGTATCAGGCCGACCTGGCGCACCGCTCTCGAGGCGCTGATGCACGTCGGCGAGCAAGAGGGTGCACGCCGACGAGTGCGTATCAACAATCGCACGGTACTCGCGCGCGATGAAGAAATTCTTCGCGCCTGGCTCGCCGAGTGGATCCCCGCCGTGCCATCCGAGTCAGACGTCGCAGACTACCGCCGCCAGATCTTTCGGTAGCACGGTGATAACTCCCACACGCATTTGTAGCATACTGCCACGTTCTGTGCTACTCCCCGTTCGCCGATGATCGATGGCTGACAGTTGTGAGCGCGCCTGACAGGGTCATTCACTTCACTCGACTGAATACCATGCCACGCGAGCTTGTCTAACATTACTTTGTAAACAACTGCGGGGAAAGCAACCCATTTGGCCATATAAGATGCCCCCGGGTGCGCTGATTTCTCTACTATCTCTCACACTCATACTCACATCGAGCTACATTGTTCATCGCTCGTTACCACGACACCTAGGGTATGACTGTGACTCCCCACTCCCAGCCCCGGCCCCAGGCCGAGGCGTCCGGATCGCATTATCAGCCCTCTCTTCCCCCCCACCCCGGACCCGGGTCTCAGTGGGTGCAACATGGCTACCAGGCCGTTCCACGCCTCATCCCCGCTCCCCAGCAGCAGTGGGTGCCGCAAGGCCACCAGGCCATTCCTTCCCCCCATCCTGGTCGCCAGAAGCGGAGGGTGCAGCGTGGCCACCAGGCCACTTCTACCCAAAACCAAGGACACCAGCAGCAGCAGATGCAAGGCATTCCAATGTTCTACAACCGCGGACGCCAGCAGCAGTGGCCGCAAGGCCATCTGGTCATGCCGACGCCCGATGCGAGAGCCCGTGCCACTCCGGGCCACACACGCCCGCTCAACGACGCTGCTGCGAGTCCGACAGGCTCAGCGCGGCCGCCATCGACTAGGCCCACCCCTATACCCACCTTTGCCACGATTCCTCAGGATGCGAGAGCGCACAGCAGCAGCTCGGCATATGCAGGCCCGTCCTACACCGCTCCTGCCACCCCGACGCGCTCATCGCGGGCGCAATCGACTCAGGCGGCCCCCATCCCTCTCTTTACCACGGCTCCTCAGGATACGAGCGCCCACGGCGGCAGTCCGGATCATGCAAGCCCGCCCTACATCAGTCCTGCGGCGTCAACGAGCCCAACGCTACCGGAACTTGACGCGTGGCTATCCCTTGGCTGCAACATTCCTGGTCTAAGGATCCCTGGTATGCTGGACGACCTGTACGCGACCTTCGACCAGCTGGCGCCGGTCGTCGACCAGGTCTTGGATGAGGGGATTGTGCAGCAGATGGATGAGCCGGCTGCGCACGAGGAGCCAGGTTCCCGGCAGACGAAGCGCGGCCAGGAGGATTTCACTTCCCCGACATGGGACGCGGACGACATGTTCCGCACTCTGACTCAAACTGGAGAAGACTCCGAGTTCTTCGCTGATCCGTTTGTGCTTGAGCAGACCGAGCAGATACACGAGTGAGGCGATCGAGGGGAATAGGAGCGTGGGGGATACGAACGGGAGGGATAGGAGCGGGGGGATAGGAGCGTGGGGGATAGGAGCGTGGGGGATAGGAGCGTGGGGGA